AGTTGTGAACAGGTTTTTTTTGTACTGTAAAAGAATAAAGCTAAGGAAATACGTTTACTGCCTTGTTCAGATATTTTTTATCTGTTTAAATTCCGTATTAATCCATCAGCTCTTGTGGTTAAAAGAACGTCCAAAAGACCATTCTACCTTTATTTTCTTCTCCGGATGTAAACTTAATGACTGAGTGTACTTCATTAAATTGCCTAAGAACCTCTATTTGTAATCTACTATCTTATTATTTTCTACTTTGTCCAAAGAGAATATTATCCTGTTTATCTATGTTTTTTATTCTTTGTATTTTTTAGCTATTTTACACTGACGATTATGAATTGGTCTCATTACAACAGGGTCGTTGTCCATATTGTCATACAATGAAAGAATAAACAGCAATATCTCCCTTCAATATGCACACACAAGCACACTTAAACACATCATTAAAAAAACACAGATAATGTGTTGAATTAAAGTAAACATTAAACTTTGAAGCACATAAACACTGAATATTGTACAATTACTGCATACAAAATTTGTTTTACTAAATAAATATGCAAAATACTTTCGAATTTTTCTTCTTCTCAATGAGTTGAATTTAAGAAGTTGAAGTCGGTTAATAGTTTATTTGAACATGTTATAGATAGTTTATTTAGTAACAGTATCATATAATGTGAAAACGGTGAATTATGTTTTGTAACACTGTAAATTTATATATGATATGATTTACAACCGAGTTGAGCGTGTCGGCTACTTCACTTATCTTGGAAGTCTTATCCGCCTTTGTGGTATGGTGTGTGACAAAATCTCAGCACGGATACAGAAGGTTCGATTAGCTTTTATCAACTTGCGTCATTTATGGCGTAGGCGAGATATCCGTCTATCAACCAAAGGACGTGTTTACTGCACAGCAGTTTGTTCCGTCCTACTTTATAGCTGTGAAACATAGCCAGTAAGAGTAGAGGATATCCGTAGGTTACTAGTATTCGATCATAGATGTCTTCGAAACATTACTCGTATATCATGAGACTATCGAGTAAGTAATTCAGTTGTTAGGAAATGGGTATTAGGTAAGAATGGTAAATCAATTGAGGTAGTGAAACGTTATCAGTTGAGATGGGTGGGACACGTAATACGTATGCTCAACCACCGACTGCCTCGATGTACGATGTTCAATGGTATAGGAGTAGATTTGAAGAAAGCTAGGGGCGACCAGACCAAAACATGGCACAAATCCATGAAGTGACTGACAAGTGGACTGAGCCATGTTGGTAGGTGTAGGCAACCTGGTGGTGATCAGCGAGACGATAGAAATCGATGGTTAGAGACGTTGAATGACATGGCTCCAAATTGTTTGCAATGACGCAGGTGCATCCACACTTTGTCTTCAACCAAATTATAATCTTCTGAATCCTTCATGTCTCTTTTTTTTGCTTTCCAAATTTATTTCACTGTATTATACTCCTTAAATAACATCTTCAAACCCTAATGTTTCCGATTACTGCTTATGCTCTTACTACCTGTACCACTACGTGACTTGAATCGATAACTGCATCTCTGTGCTAATGTGGTATGTCAACTCGAACTGATGTACGTGAATACGAAGTTCTACGTTGTCACTGACTGACTGCTACCAGTTAAGTGGTGATCAAACAGTTGAACTTCATTATAATCAGTTAGTTACACAACGTTTGAAACATAATTAAAATTTGGGTGAATTCTCGTAACTAGTTAATTGTTACAATTAGTTACATAATAATAAGAATACGAATTGAAATCGGGAAAAGTTTATCAAGTCTTTGAATCTTTCTTGACAAATAACATTTACGGCACAGCGAATTTCGTAACTTCAACCAATCCAAAAAGTTACGCCACCGTCTACGATTGTGGTGGAAGTGGTGCAAATTAGTGGAATGGTTGAAGTTAGGCATTAACACCATTGGATGCCTCCTCAACGACCTAGAGGTTATGGGCTCGCGCGTGAGACTGATGTGTCCCGGGTTCGAATCCAGCTATACTTGATGATGGCTACGCACTGCTGAGGATTCTCATACTAGGATGAAACGGCTCTCTAGTGCTTCCAGGTTTTCAATGGTGATCCAGCTTCGATCAAACCATCAATTCAACTTTGAAAATCCAAATAGATTAGTGGAACTATAGACTTTTATTAACTCGTGCAACACATATCCCACTCATTGCCTACTACAATGCGCTAATCTGTTTAACGTTATCGAAGGTTAAAAGAAATCACAAATTAGTATGTCAGGGCATGTAAAAAATACAGATTTACTGATTGTGTTACTTTCGGTAACTATATTTGATGCGTTTCATATTTCCCAGTATCCGTTGTCATATTATTGTTCAGATAATTATAACTTTTGTAGTAGAGCTTTTTTTTAATCGAATAAGTTTTTGGTCCTGTAGCACTATTAACTGGTAACTTACTGATACATTATTCAAGGTTATTCTTAACTGAAGAACTAAAAGGTAAGCCAAGTTTTATTTAGGCTGTATTACTGAATAGTGTTTTCAAATGTGACAACCCCTTGTTTATAAATTTGCACTATTAATTCTTCATAGGAAGATAAAGAATGCTAAACTTAGTTCACTTTGAATAAGTTATAATTACAAGAATACAAACTTCATTTTCATTAATCATAATAATTCGTCATGAATCTTGGTAAAAAAATACTTTACAGGAGTGATATCAGTTAGTAGCTATTTAATTGTAATTAGATAAGATCATTCAATGAGCCCATAATTTATGGACGACCTTCGAGCGATACCAAAATGACTTGGAGTGTGTCCAACTAATAAACACGACCAAATGAGGGTTATATACTAGTGCGAGGCACTGACATTATAATTTATAGTTGATGAATAATGTTTTCATCACAAACTGGCATCAGATATAATGCCAAAACTCTATTTATCCGAATGAATGGGTGACTTTCGCGCCAAAATCCGAAACCTGTTATCTTATACGTGACTGGTTCATCCATAAATTATAGTCTTGTCGATCATTCAATTGTGTTCAATTATTGTTGAGCGTTATGTAGGTCTGTATTTTATGTATTTTTAAGCTCTCTCTGTAGGTTACAACTGACTTGCGTTCTATATGTAAATCATTTGTAATGACTGAACCACTTTCTCTATTAAATCTAATCCTCATTACTTGAATTGTACAACAATATAAATTATATCTAGATGCCAAGTAAATTTATGATCAGTATTAAAGTTCCCTAAGTATACTACTTATTAGTAACTCATATTGTATTACAAAACATTTCAGTGTATTAAGTGATAAAATTATACCATACAGATCTTTCAAGCCTTCAGCTGAATAAAGGAACATAAAAAACAGTCATTTATTGTCATTTTTCGATTACGGGCTATTAAACAAGACTTATTATCTATCATCACATGTATGATAACACCAACAGTTAAAAGATACATTCATGCCTGGTGAATACCATGATTGAAAGTAGTATTTTAAATAGTATAATTAGACTTGAATTCTACAGTCTATTATGATTAATTAGAACAATCTACATTACCGAATAATTCATAAAATTATATAGTGTAATATACTGAGAGATGCGTAGCGCAATAAAAATCTGCTTAGACTTAATTTATCATTATGGGGATTGTGGAGGTTGCTGGCTTATACGTTATTAAGCATTTAGATTTGTGACTAGAGCTGTTTGGTTCAGTTCTCAAATGTGAGGTTTTGAATACGCACTATTGATGAGTCCGATTCTAGGATAAAGCAATCGTTCAGTGGATTCAGATTTTCAATAGTTATTTACTCCTTCTCGACCTTTATTTCATGTTTGTTAGAACCCTTAAAGTGGATTCAAATCTTACAAACTTTTGGGGACGTTAGATTCTTAGAACTCACTTGGAAAAGAACCTTAATTTGTAATTTTATTTAGAAAATTTAAATTTCTTTGTTTTCGAGCCAAAAACGCTCTTTTCACCTTCATGTCGTATTTCCCACTTGGGAGAATCTTAAACGCGATTGGTCCGTTGTGTCTTTTAGTATGCTATTTTGTAACCCTTCCCAAGGACGATTTTATGCTGTATATATACGTTTTAATTTATGTCTGTTGTTATAATTCGTGCTTCTGGCTTTTTGTGGAATATACTTCCTCGTTCGGAATTCAACTTCTCTTTCTAGTTAGCGGGGCTGAGACTCAATAGAATAGCTAGTTTATTGGTCTTTGGTCACAAGTTATTGTTCCGTTCTCAGTCCAAATGAACCCGTAATCGCTTCAAACTTAGTAAATTCGGTGACGGGAATAAGATTCGAACCCACGCAAAGAAACCCCAATGGATTAGAAAACCTAACATAAACGAGCCTATTTCCCCTCAAAATGATAAGCACATCCTTCTTTTGATTATCAATTAGCACAAAACCTTTCAAGCAGAATTTCTTCCCAACGATTTCAGCTACCAAATATCTAAATTCACCATACAATACAAAAAGTCAATATCCTTACATCATGTTTATTCTTTCAATTAATTGTTATAAAGATCTAATCCAAACAAATTTGGCATGATTTAAAATGTATAATATTTCCATTAAAGTTCTTTTTTTTAAATAATTTTTATCAAATGGATCACAGGATTATTCTAAAGAGATAAACAAATATATCACCATAGTAACCTTTGAAATTTTTTTAAAAAAAGATTAAATATTGAGATAGATCTAATTCAATCTCAAAGTTCGTTGAAATAGGTAACTCTTCTCTCTGATGGTGATGATAATAATAATAATACACATAATAACCCATCTGAAACAATGTTAATTAAGTAATTAAACAAAGAAACACAATATTAAAACAATAAACCTTGAACACTAAATGATCATTTACCATTCGTTTTTTTATTAAATATACCTCATAACACTTATGATGACGGCATTAATACGTAGAAACGAAATGATGTACATTAAAACAAAACATGTAATCAATTTGATATAGTTGATACTTTGATTATATATGAAAATAAACTTTACTCTTTTATTTAAAAACAAACATTTTAAATTCAATAAATTGAACATTGAACAATTGAATTATGAATAGTTCAGTTCAGTTTAGTCCCGTTCAACAACAACAAAGAAGAAGAAGGAAAAGAATATAAATACAACATTGAAATTGGATTATATTTTAACCGAAATAAACAATAATGAAAACTATACTGAAACAATTTTACATTTTCATTGTTTTATTAAGTAAATAAACAATGACAAAATGTGTTTTTTTGTTACTTTATATCTTATTGTTTCTAGGTATCAATGAAGTAACCTTCGGAAATGAAGAGGATGTAAGTAGATAAAGTATAAGTAATCTTTTATTTTATTAAAATAGTTTATTTCCCTTAAAGGAAATCTTAAATAGGATGATTTCTTATTGGATCATTGAACGATTGAAGGTTCTCGGTTCGAATCTTGCGAGACGAGATTGTAGATGTGTACTACTGAAAAGTCATATAATAGGATGAAATGACGGTCCAATACTTTCAGGTTTTCTATGATGGTCTGGTTTTAATTGATTCATGATCTCAACTATTGAAATTACTAATGTAGGGTTTGTGGAGATTATTAGGTTTTTGATTGCGATTATGAACCGATTGATGGTAGACCAACTTTAAAAATCTGGAAGCACTGGACAGCCGTTTCGTCCTATTATGGGATTCCTCAGCAGTGCGTATCCACGATCCCGATCGCAAGATTCGAACTCAAGGCCTTCGGTCTATTGAAATTACTATAATATCTATAAAGAACCGCTTTTGATCCAAAAATATTTTGGTTAAGTTAGTGTTTATAATAGATGTATTATAAGATTGTTTTATAATTGAATGTCAAAATTTAATGCCAGTTTTAAAGCATATACTATTTTTAATAGTTGAATTCATGAGTCCATTGAGGCTAGACCATCATAAAAATCCTAGAAGCACTAGATGGCCGTTTCGTTCCAGAATGGGACTCCTCAACATTGCGCATCCTCGATTTCGCTCACAGGATTCGAACCGAAAACTTTCGGTCTCTCGTGGATGGGTACTGTTGAGGACAAAACGTCCGTCCAGTGCTTCCAATTTACTACAATCTCCACAAAAACCCCCTTCCTGATAATATTTTTTTGTTAAATATTTGTTTTAACTATTTAAATATCGTATATTTTTCTAAGTAAAAGCAATAACCAATTAACATAGAATTCACCTTTATAAACTATTCATAAATAAAGATGAGCACAGAAACTGAATAAACAGCTGATAATGATTGTTTATAAACTGTTGATACATATTAAGGAGGAAAAATCTATTTGAAAAATCTCAGCGAATGAATTTAAAGTAAATCCAACATTTTGTCTGATAATCTAGTTCAAGCCTTCACAACGAAGTATAATCAAACATCACATTTATCGAATATAAATAAGTGCATCGATCAATTAAACCTAGACATTAACACCGTTGGATGCTGACTCAGTGGTCTAAAGATATAGCATTCTCAGGCGAGATCAAGAGTCCTGGGTTTGATTTCCTATGGTACAGGATAGCGGATGCGCATTACTGAGTAGTCCTATTCTACGACGAAACAGCCATCCAGTGTTTCCAGGTTTTCAGTGGTGGTCTAGCTTAGTCAGATTTTTGAATCAAACCGTGAAAACAACTTCAATCTCTACAAATCCCCACATTAACAATGTGTTATTCTTTAAATGATATAATGTGGTAAGTTACTAGAAGTCAGTAAACCAAGTAATAAAATTTTACAATGTATTTCAAGATTTATTTTTTATTTAATGGGTAAATTACACAACCACTTACAGTATGTAGGTTAGCTCAAAATTGAAGTGTAACTTTTTTTAATCAGAGTAGTACGAATTAGGCTCGTTACATCGTGGGTAGGCGGTATTGCGTTCAAGCATAAATTGAAATTTCACAATTACCGCTTGATGTTGGATTTTAATTATATAAAAATAGGATAAGTTAGTCATCTGACGTTATTTCCAGTTGATATCTCTTTGTCATAAAAATCTGTTTTAGTATCAGTTCTATCATATGGGTTTTGTAGGAAAACTACACTAATAAATCTGGTTTTCATTAAGATTTTGAGATGATGGAAAAGATTTGTAGTTCAAGTGAATGATTTGGATGGAGTTTTGTTCTCTGTGATGACTGAACAACATCATCAGCACAAACTTCAGACAGAAGTTTGTTGTATTAATACTTACATGTCATACAAATGTTACCCATAGCGAAAGAATACAACTAAGATGACATTATTACAGTGATAATATCTACTTAACTATTCAGATTATATAATATTCTTTTTTAATATCAATATTGTTTATCTCATTTACAAACATTTATACTTTTCTTTAGATATACGCTGAACAATTGAAAAGACCACGATGTCATCTCTGTAAGACTTGACTCGTTTCATCCTTTTAAAAAAAACACTGATTTCAGGTTGATATTCATTTGGTGTTGTTTTACTTGTATCTTCCCATTGTTATTTAGAACTGCAATTGATCAGTCTCATGTTAGCATATGTGCAACCTGTGCAGATTGCCTTAAGTCACAAACTTTTTAGGCAAAAATGAATAGTGGCTAGCAGTGGAATTTAAACTTCACCCATTTGTACAAGCAGGTGGCTATCAGGACTCAGTAGCTAGGTGGATAACGCAATGGCGTTGGAAGTGAACAGTACTGGGCTCGAGTCCCAGCGTGAACATTAACTCTGGGGTACAGGTACATACAGTTGACGAGTCCTAAGTAGGACAAAAAGCGCGTCCTGGATTCGACTGCTAGCCACTATCTATCTATGCTTAATTTCAAGTTGTTTCTAACTTAAATCTTGTTCATATAAAATGGATTAAAACATTTTACAGTAACAATTATGATAAAAAGGGTAAAACTTTCCATTAAACATTCTATTTCATATGTTGTGATACGCATCTACTATAGGATCGTACGTTGAATAGTAATCACTCTAACTCTGAATCAATTTTGATCATCAATAATTGCAGTTGACCAGTGCAAGATAGTGAAGTACGAGTGATGTTGTATGGTATTTTGAAGTTCTAAAGGATTATCAAACTGTGGCTGATTGTTTCTTGGTACTTTTTCAAATAAGTGCCTATATGTGAATATTTATACCCCCCCCCCTGTATAAGAAAATATTCAACAAGCTAGTTTAAAATTTAAGCTTATATAGCTACACTGGAAAGTTCTGTATTTGATTCCCAATGAAGTTATAAGTATTCATTATTGATGAGTTCCATACGAGGACATAACACTTAACCAGTACTTCCAGTAACATTAAACCATGATGAATATCACTTATGAAATTTACTTCTTATATAAGAATTCTTCTTCTTCCTCTTCTTCTTCTTCTATTAAATGAATAATCATAATCGTTTGTTTTTTTTCTTTCAGTATGCGGAATTTGTAGACGTATAGGAAGATTGATAAAAACGTTCATTGAACATGAACCATTCCTTCCAATAACCTCAAGAATAATATCTCTGATATGCAAATTAATTCCTGAAGAACAGTGGAGAAATGAAGTAATATACTCATATTATTACTAACTTTTTTTTTATAAAATATTAACATATTTATCTTTAATTAGGTTTTAAATAATACTTATAAGTAGTACTCTTCTGCAGCAATTTGGAAGACCCTCCCGGTCTCCCACATTGTACGAATATTCCATGTACCTGAATGAATGGTTGCTCTGGTTGTCAGAAGGGGCATCGGCCTCATGACTTCCAAAGGAACTCGGCTTTCATCATGAGGCGTCATAGTTCTTCTAAATGAAGACTTTCTGACTCTCAGGGCAGAGTTTAAAAGGTTTGAATAATTTTTTCTGGTAAGCGTTTTTTAATCGAGTTAGTTTTCTACGGGACGGGATCGCTTACCCCATTCCCAACCCTCCTCTTTTATCTGGGATTGGGACCGACAGTAGCCTCAGGAGGGACTTTAGGAGGAGTTAAGTAGTAACCTTCACAGTACGAAATAGTAATGTAATATTTCATGTTCAAAAGAAACGGAATTAAGAAAAAAAATCCTAATTGGAAACTGATGAATAAGGATCAAGTTCTTTGATGATATTGAACACTTTTTCAAATCTAAATTCAGAAGCGCTTTAATTGAAAATATAAAATTATGTTGTATTCATATATTGGGAACGCTAACCAGAAAATTTGGGAATGTATACTTTTATAGTTGAATTAATGAGCCATTTGAGGCTAGATCACCATGGTAAACTTGGGAGCATTAGATGACCGTTTCGTCTTAGGATGGGACTCCTCGGAAGTGTGCATTTACGATCATGTCTCGCATAATTCTTGCGGAGAATGTGTACTTTGTTTAAAAATAGATGGTCAATAATTGACTTTGGATACAGATTTCGTGCTATTTGGCACTTGTTAGCAAAATGTACCTGTAACCGTGAACGGATCAGTGCTCCCTACTAGATCCTATCACGTGTCACCCAACCTAGAAGTCAGAGATGATACTACTGAACCTTAATTCCTTCACGATTACAGATAAACCTTGCTGACAATTGCCATATATATATATATATATATATATATATATATATATATATATATTTGTCCATTTTTAACAGTGTCTAGACATTACACACTATTTACCGAGGACAATTCATCAATTGGCTCATCATATAAATGTTACCTTTGAATGTTCTGTAAGTAAACTATTTATTATTATGATGTTTTTGTTTTAATCATCAAATTTCCTGTTTCTTTATTATGATACTTGAAGTATTACATAAGCTTATAACATTTTACACAAAATCTAAATGACTTAAGTATATATGTAATGATCAACTAGGCGGTTAGCCTGAATAATTTGTAATAATATGAAACAAACAGTTTCATAAAATAATTCGTTTTTATTAACAATTTCATTTTCAAAATATATACAATTGTATTTTATAAGCAAAGATGGATGATGATGACTAACAGTGGAATCCAGGACTGGCGTTTCGTCCTATCTGGGACTCATCAGACAGACATATATTTCCATCTCAAAGTTGATATTCAGTCAGTGACTTGAACCTAGTACCATTCGCTTCAAACGCCATTTCGTTATTTATTTAGCTAATGAGTTTTGATAGCCACTTGCTTGTTCAATGGTATGAAGTTTAAATTCATTTGGTATTGTTTTCTTATATTTTCTCATTGTTGTTAATCGAGTCCCAGAGTGAACATTATCTCTAAGATGTAGGTACATCCAATTGACGTGTCCAAAATAGAACGAAACGCATGTCCTTGATCCCATTGCTAACCACTATTCATCTTTGCTTATAAATATAATTTATATGTTTCAATCAGTTATATAATTGTTTTTTTATATATATTAGAAACTAGGTTTCTGTCGCCATGAACACACAATGTTATCAGATTCTGAAATATCATCATGTAAGTATAAAATTTCTTAGATACATATATTCTCGATGAATTGCTTATAATGTTCTATTGAAGTTTGTCAATGAAGCATTTACCATTTCAACTGCTTAATATTGGCTTTTTCTACACGTCAAATTTTACAGTTATAAGGTTGGATAACCTAAACCTAATAATATACAATTATTAGTATAAGATTGTGGAGATTGTTGAGCTTGTAGGGTTTCGTACTATGTCAAGCTGACATGGGTTATTCTAACCTCTGGACAGATCAATCTATTCATTCTTCTCAAGCCACATTTTAACCGAGTTAATTATTCGCTTATCAACCTTGACTGTTTTTATGTGAGCGTATGTGTGTACATCTCTTATCTTACTCATCACTTGTTTGTAAATTATTTTTATCTTACCATAAATATCGATTAACACTTGATTGCGGGGAGTTAGTTCACTCGCCTACTCCACTAAGTATCACTTTGTTTCATTTCTCTCTCTCTCTCATTCGCTTCATTCTATGCGTCTCCCTGTTTGCTTGTTCAGATCAACGATTGTACGAAATATACGTATTCGGAAGTTCGTTCTCGTATTTGACTTATTAAATTCCGTTATACACTAACGCGATTTAACTTTATGATTATATGCGAGGATTGGCGGCATGTATATTTTGATAACAACAGCAAACCATCTACCTGGAGTCAGATCCCGGACTACTTAAAGCTTTTATTGTGATCTTGAACCGATTAGGGTTAGATCATCATTGATGTTATTCCCCGATAACAATAATGAGTGGTAATTTTTGGGATCCAATTGTGGACCAATACTATACGTACATTTTTACTGTATAATTGTTAATTAACTAAACCATTCTTATCGATTAAATGTTTAAATATTTCAATGGCAGTTGATTGATTAACTTATCGATTCAATTTTTAAAACAAACTTCCATAGCAATATCCATTATATATATATATATATATATATATACGTTTTGAATTGTGTTTGTTGTGATCGCTCGTTTCTGACTGTTTGCAGAATATACTTTCCATTCCAAGCTTGGACTTCTCCCTCTAGTTAGCCGGGCTGGGACGCATCAATAGCTACCTCAATGGTCTTTGATCACCGAGTCATGTTTCTCGTTGGCACATTAAGTGAACTCGTAAATTAGATCATATCCCCGTCGCCAAATTTGCTAGGTTTGAAGCTATCACGAGTTCACTTAATCTACGAACGAGAAACAAGATTCGGTGATCAAGGACCATTAAGGTAGCTATTGATGCGCCCCAGCCCCGCTAACTAGAGGGAGAAGTCCAAGCTTGGAATGGAAAGTATATTCTGCAAACAGCTAGAAACAAAAACCGTGAACACTGGTATAAAACACGACAATAGAAAGGAGAACTGTGTTCGACATGAGAAGTTACAAAGTAATTATATATTCAATTGAACAGAGACTTCAGTCTTCCGTTGGCACCTTATGATATGTTTTGCTATGTATACTGACATCTCGCCTGGTCTCCAAGTGTTTTCGATGCACTGAAACTCTTCACTTTATCTGATAACTGTAACACCTTCGACGTCACGTTCCTCCACACACTACTTATAATTTTATGGATGACGTTCACTTTACTGGATGACCGTTTCGTCGCAGAATAGGACTCCTCACCAGTGCTCATCCAAGATCCTGCACTCAAGGTTTCAACCCAGCACCTTTAGACCATAAACTCGAGATAAAATGGTGTTAATACCTAACTTTAACCAACTCACGATAGTGTGCGACCATCTTTCATTGTCTTTGGTGAGTAAAATTGATAAATAACGTATTATATCATTCTCAAATCTTTCAATCTAGAGATAAAAAATTTATAAAGAGAGTTAATTTGTCTTATTAAAGTTGGATTGTATAGTTTCAAATTTAGTTCGTAACAATTTTAACTTCAATGTTTTGATGACTTATTTTAGGAAAAAGATCCTATTGATTTTCAAAACATTATTCTTTATTATATTTCTTTTTCAATGTAGGCATTAATGAACATATAAACTATGGCTTGTCTTTAGCCAACTCACCAGAATATGAAGAGAAAATCATAAAGAATATATGTAAACATCATGCAGCTGATAAACACAAAGTAAGTATCCACATTTTTTGAGTTGGGTTTCATGATGGGGAACAATAGACTGATAGTGCGAACTCATAATCTCATGTTAGTGCATGTGATTCAAGTTGAAAATGTAATTTTTTCAGTTCCAATTTAGCTGTTTTTATTATTGTACATCAACTTAATTACTGCTAGAGGTAGGAGAGCAGTTATCACTTCATGGTTGCCCACCCCAAGAAAAGGTTCTTCTGGAAATACATAAAAACGAAATTGGATTAAAGGTAGTCTTAAAGACCAGAGAGAGTGACCGCAGTGCCCAACAGACAACTGCTGGAGGTCGGTCACACACGAACTTTTTGTCAATAATTTTCTTAACTCACCCATCCTTGTGAGATGGCAGCATCACTGTCATGCTGGTTTTCTGAAGGAAACACCTTACTACAATCACACATCTGTACTATCAGCAGTATGACTTTGCCTTCGGACCTTGAGTTTGTTGCTTTTAGTTTTACCACTCTTCAACCGACCTGTCTGGTATGCCAGGACCCTGAGGAACGATTGTTCGGTTCATCACGGTAAGCAAGCTTGACCACCACTTCAAGGTAGCAGCAACGGTCGGGTTAGAATCGATCACAATGGCATAAGTGCATACAATCTTTGTCTTTCCTTAAACTGTAAGAATAAAATTACTTTATACCTTTCCTACTAATTCTTTCCTCCTGTAATATCTCCTCGTACACAATCTTTCTTTTATGTATTACTACCTTTGAAGTAACTACTTCTATGAATTTGATGTTCATCTTTTTGCGCTAATAAGGTATGGCAACTTGAACCGATGCATATATGTGCCTGGTCTTACGTTGTAGCTGATGGACTGACTGACATCAACTTGAGACATAAAGGATATTAATTGTGATCAGTTGTAAAATTTTGAATGAGTATTGGTCAATATTTCAAATTAGAATGAAACAATTATTTTCAGTGATTATTCATCTTAACTTGTCTATAACATGAACAGAAGTTTCCAGAAAACAATTTAATTCAGTTATTTAAACTAGAGATTAATGATTGGAAAGCGGTAAATTTGAAACTTGACAGTACATCGAATCCATGAATCGAAATCAAAACTTTTGATTTAGTATGTAACAGCTTATTACATAGACCGCTGAGTCTTGATATATAATTGTATATGTGTCAAATTTCATTCAGTCCACGATATTTCACGACCATCCTTCTTTGTCTTCGATGAGCATCTTATTCACAGCCGGCAAAGTTGAACTATGATCTGTTCATGATCGCAATGAAATTCAACAATTTCCACAAGCTTATATTGACAATACAAGTCTTTGTATAAACATTTTCAAATATTTTGCGTCCTCGAACTACTTGCTGGTGGTGTTTTTCAAAGACATTTTCGTTAATAAAATAAGTTGTTTGAAAATAAAGATTTTAAAGCTCATAAAAAGAGCACAATTAAGATGATCGTCGGGTCGACTTTTAATGACATGCATTTATGTGACGAATGCTACCTACAGAATAAATTGATCTTCATTAAACCACTTCAACTAGAGCTAAATTATGATCTCACTAGTGATTCAATCCGTGATACGTTCCTGAAGTTCTAGTTAGAAATCATAGCCCATGGAGTTGAAAAATTTCGGTTGATAAAAAGTCGACACCATTATTTTTTGCTGATAATCGAGATACAATGAATTTCTTGAACTTGAGATTGTTTTCCAGCAAATCATATCCCAATGGTTTGTTCGTATAGAATTTACTGATCAATTAATCACTAACATTAAAAACGAATCTGTTCTGCAAAAAAGGGTTTTATCATTGCCGAGTAATAGGAATAGGAAGTACTTTTATTGTTATTGTACTGAACGAGAACATAAATGGGAATAATCAAATATATTTTAACTAAAAATTACAGAATCCCTTAGTAAAATCTGAGAATCATACAATAAATACTTCATTTGGAAAGTGTCATTCAATCGTCTCATTTTTTTATTGTTCTTTTGTTTTCACATCAATCACTGTTTGTTCTTGTTCTCTTTTCTTTGATCTTCTTCACCTTGTGCCGCCAAACATTTCAATTTCGACTGGTAATACATACTACTTATATCTATCGACATCAGTAGCACATATCATAATATCATCTCAACTGAATCCATTTTTTGATGCCATTTCTTCTACCCTCCTACAAACAGACATTTTCCATATAATTATATAAATAAATCTATAATATCAAATAATACAAACACTTGATTGTTAATATTTTGAATATTTATCAACTCTCTAATATAAGTTTTTTTCATCGAGATTATGGACTGGTTGGTGTTCGACAACCGTGGAAAACCTGGAAGCACTGAACGGCCGTTTCGTCCTATTATTGAAAACTCTCTAATATAAACTAACTCTTCATTAATATATACTTGTTTTTCAGATTCAATATTTCAATTTCTACCTAACTAAATATCTCATTTGATTGTTCTTTTAGTGCTTAGAAACTATAGAGACAATAATGACATTTCTACTTGAAGTGACCGCTTAAGTAAGTTTATATTACTGTGAATAAAAGAAAACTATGATCATGTATCAGAAGCGGTTTTGTGGAGATTTTAGAAATTTCACTGATTGGATTCATGAGTCAACTGAAGCTAGACCACTATGGAAGACCTGGGAGCATTGGATGGCTGTTTCACCATAGCATGGGACTCCTCAGAAGTGTTCATCTACGATCCCGCCCCCCGCGAGATTCGAACCCAGAACCTATCAGTCTCGCGCCAGGCGCTTAACCAACTAGACCACTGAGCCGGCTGGCATCCAACGGTGTTAGTGTCTTACTTCAACCAATCCACGAAGTTTTGCACTGCTGAGGAGTCCTATACTAAAACGAAACGGTCGTCCAGTGCTTCCAGGTTTTCCATGGTGGTCTAGATTCAATTGACTCATGATTTCAATCAGTATGATCATGTATACTTTTTTAAACTTCATAGAGTAATTCAATGTTTAACATGAACTATTTTGTTTTATTATTTCAGATTTACATATTGAATTACGAAATTATAACCTCTTTAATAAATAATAATAATAATTGCAAGTAGTTTTGTTTATTTTCGAATGATTGGTTAAGTAGTTAAGCGCTCTTGCGTGAGACTGATAGGTCCTGAGTTCGAACCTTGCAAAGAGGGATCGCGGATGCGCACTACTGAGAAGTCCCACAATAGGACAAAACGGCCGTTCAGTGCTTCCAGGTTTTCTATGGTCGTCTAGCTTCAGTTGACTTATGATCTCAATCACTGAAAAAAAATAGATAAGATGAGTAGAAAAATTATATTTGTGATATTTTGTGGCTTAATGTAAGCCAATTCTTCTTAGTAGATTGACTCTGAAAAAGTATCTACTTACCTACTCCTGTTACTCCTTGTGAAGGATCATAGGCTGCCCACCAGCACTCTCTATCTAACTTTGTCCTAAGCAGTCCTTTTCAGTTGTTATTCATCTTTTTCATATCTGCTTCCATTTCCTAATGTAGTATGTTCTTCGAACTTCCTCTTTTCTGTTTCCCTTCGGGATTACAAGTTAGGGATTGCTTCGTGATTCAATTTGTTGATTTCTACAATGTATGTCCTATACACTTCTAACATCTTTTCCCAATTTCCTCCTCAACAATAAGCTGGTTTGTTCTCTCCTAAAGTAGGCTGTTGGTGATGGTATCCGGTCAATGGATGTTGAGTATCTTGCGTCGACAACTGTTAATAATTGCTTGTGCCTTCTTGATAAAAGTTGTAGTAGTTCTCCATGTTTCATTTCCATACATTAGAACAGTCTTGACGTTTGTATTGAAGAATCTGATTTTGATATTGGTTGACAGGTATTTTGAGTTCCTATGTTCTGAAGATGTGGCCTACATTAAATTATGAAACGATAGAAATATAGTTTTTCCACTCATTGGGATACCAAAAATAAATTTATTACTAACTTTCTAACAAATGATCGATTTTTTTGAAACTGTCAAGTCGAACCTTGATATTGACACCTATAAAATAATTGAAGTCATGACCAGACCACCGTCGAAAACCTGAAAACACTGAACTGTAATAGATGAACGGTTGATTAAGATCATAAATCGATTAAAGTTAGACACTGACACCAGTGGATGCTGGCTCAGCATTCTAGAGGTCAAGCGATCGCCAGTGAGAACGAAGGTCCAGGGTTGGAGTCCCATGTGCCGAGATCGTAGATGTGCACTTCTGAGAAGTCGTGTTCTTGAATGAAACAGCCGTTGAGTGCTTTCAGCTTTTCAACGGTGATCCAGCTCACATCAACTCATGAATTCAACTATTAAAATTACCCCAAAAAATCTCCACATTCTAGTGATAACGTGACCATTTTACAGTTGATCAAAACAATCAACGTTTATTGAGGATTTCAGTTTCTTCAAAATTAGTTTACAATCGGTGTTAAGCTTTAATGGAAACATTTTGCTTAACATCATTACTGAATTCCGTCAAATACTGCTATATACCCGTTAGTGCTTGTTAACATTGCTTGATGTAATGATACACTTACATTTAGTAGTTCAGCTGCTATATTGGAAAACTGAATATCGGTCAGTACAACACATTGTAGAGGCTAATTTCCTCTATATCTGACTCCAATAAATAGTATCCCGTTAACTGAGTATTTAATACAGACTAAATCCCCTAGTAGAATTATGAATTTAATCGAGATCATTCAAAAGCCTGAACATCAGTTATCGAGATAGTTCATTGTTAAAGATTGGTAAAATCCTAAGCGTATAGAAGGCAAGCACACAGGGAAACCAAGAGTGTATGTGTGTGAGTGTTACAAATCCATATATATTTTTGAGTGTTAATCAAGTATGGATAAATTATTGATTATCTGTGCATTACAGCCAATAGGAGAATAGATTGGAAGTTGATGTGCAGACATGTGCTCAATCATACTCACACAGAAAATTACATGATGGATCAAGTGTCTTGTTAGGTTCGTTAAGCTTGAATGCTACTACTGATTCGGCTTATTCGGAACTGAACGAAGTAACAGGATTCAGAGACTCATTCAGAGACCCGTTGTCCCTGACTCAGCTAACTCGATCAAGAAGTCTTGGTAAGACGTAGAAGTGTATTCTACAGGCAACCAGCAGATACCAGGTCAATCAGGCACACAAATCAAGCATATTTATACAAATATTTATAATCGATATTGTCATGGAAATTTTTTTAAACATTAATCAGTAAGTTCGTCAATCGACTGCTATTTACACATTTAATCGACTAACCATCAATTGACTACCATTCAAATATTTAAACACTTAATCGATAAGATAAAATTACAAAATATCATCCCTAATACTCCTCCCCTTTTTAATAGCGTGCTTTCCTGGGGTCGACTTGCATCTTGACTGTTGCTCGCCGCTAACGGCGAGGCCACCGTCTGCGACGTGTTTCAGCTTGTTGTTTAAGTTTTTCTTGTGGTGGGGTTGCCGGTAATTTGAATGTGTCTAGCAGGATGTCAAGAGGAATATTTGCTTCTGTTGATAAGCGGTCTGGGGCTAACCGTTTACGTAACTGATTCCGCTGGCGTTGCCAACTATCGCTGCGATCGCGTTCGAAGCAAATGGTACTGTGTTCCAGTTCCAGAGTAAACATCAACTCTGAGATGCAGGTACATCCAGTAGACGAGTTCCAAATAGGATGAAACGCGCATCCTAGATTCCACTGCTAAGTTCAAATGTTTCATTAAAATAAGGACAGTTAATGGATAAATGGTTAGGGAGAGTTTTTTTAAAAAATATGTTGATTAAAACAATTGTGTAGCTTCATAAATTGAAAAAGTATATGACAGTAACGGGTGAGAAAAAGAGTTGAATTTTTATTTATTTATGTAATTGATAGTTACATATATGTAGGTTGTCTAGACGGTCAGAAACGCGTAACTTCAAATTAGATACACTAAATAAAAGAATTCTTTACCTTTTTTCTAACCAAAACTCATCCATATAGCGATCTTCATCTGACGATTAATTGAAAAAAATCAAACATTTGGAAAATATTAAACAAAAGGAATTTTTAAAGGCGAAATCAGTTTATCCAAACTTATAGAACAAGAAATAATGAAGAAACCAATAATTCATCATTATTAAAAGATTTAAGTAGTAAATGAATAGATTCGCAAAAAACTAAGATCAGTATGTTGTTCACAAGTTGATGGATAAAGAAGATTTAAACAAACCATTGCCAATCACTTTAATTAGAGGGTTATCTTTAAAGCGTTTAAATGGATAGTCAACATATTGAATACATTGCGCATATACACGTACATGTATTTGAGATACTGCTTGTCTATCTAACAATTTAAGCTCCATTTCAGTAAAGTGATAAGTATTGGTTAAATCACCTATCTTCCACTGTATTGGTCAAAGGTTTGTATAAGATTTCATCTTCTTCAATCTCAGTAGTTGAGTTATATCACTAACCTTCACACATGTATGGCTCAAAGTGTTATATCCTAGTGAAGATTAAATTACGGGTAACTTCCGAGGACTATTAATCAACAATTGCTAGATTAGATAGGGTTGTTAGGTCCACGCCTAACCATTCTTCTTTATTCGAGTTTGGGTCAGGCAGCAAATCCTAGAAGGGATTCAGGTGGAGTTTTGATTACAAGAAACGAATTAATTTATCATTTGATTGAGATTCAAAAAGTAAATGGTTCGTGGTACTATTTGAGTTGTCTCTTGCATATATTAAATGTTATAGATATTCGAGTCAACAACCTAGCGTGCTCGAGTTTGATAAAGCTTTATTTTTATATTGAATACTAGTAAATATCCAAAACACCATAATTTCATTAAAATTGGCCACCAACTTGTACAAAACAAGCATTCGAATCCCATAAATTGATTATATTTTTATTGTTTGATGTTCAGTCAATGAACATAAAGAACTAAACTATTTTGAAAGACCGAAGTTCCTACGTTTGAATCCCTTAGGTGCGGGGTCGTGGTTGTGCACTGTTGAGAAGTCTCATACTAGGACGAGACGGTCGTCCACTGCTTCTAGGTTTTCAAAGACTGTCCAAATATTGGTCGATTCATGATCCCAATCACAACTCAACAATCTCCACCACCCTATACTGATGCTTTGAAAATGGTTAGTATTTGAAAAAAAAGTCGGTTATAACAACTGAACGAAGATGTTTTCAATAAAATAAATACTTTATATGACCTTTACGGTATTTGCTATTGCGGACAGATATTAAATGGAGAATTAAGGAAAATTAGTGAGCACTGGTTAGGTACTTCATTTTAGAAACCTAAAAAACAAACAGTTAGTGCAATACAATGAAATTCATATTGTAATGAACGACATCAGTATCACAGACACCACAGTATAGTTCAATTCTATCTAAAGTTTGTACTGATGACTTTGTTTAAAAGAAAGGTGAAAACTTTCCGCTTTAACTAACTAATTCACAGAACGCGTCACTACAAAAAGAAGATATAAGATACTTGGATTCGATTATTTAACAGATGCCTACTGATGTAGAGTCTAAACTAAATAGATATATCCAATTCACTTGGTGTTGGTTTACTTGTATCTTCCCATTACTATTTAGGACTGCAATCGATCACTCTCATGTTGGTATATGTGCATCCTGTGAGGGTTGTCTTGATATAGCTTTGTAAGTAAAGATGGATAGTGGCTAGCAGTGGAATCCAGGACGCACGTTTCGTACTATTTGGGACTCGTCAGCTGAATGTATATTTGCATCTCAAAGTTGATATTCACTCGTGGACTTGAAAACATTACCGTTCGCTTCAAACGCCATCACGCTATCCACTTAGCTACTGAGTCCTGATAGCCAATCATTCCTGGTTTTCGAACATTCTAAAAGATTTATGATACTAATCGTTGAAAATGTTGAATATTTTTTTCGATCAAGTCAAGTTATAATTGAGATATTCAAAACTTGAATGTAACCAAATAATTTTAATTCTAGTTAAATTACTATAGAAATAGTATAACAACTGTTATAGCAAGATTACATAATTCAGTACTGTATATGCAATGAATTAGCAAATTGTAAATATAACGCATCTGTTTAAGTAACTCAGATAACATTATGGATTACATTCACTGAAGAAAAAAGCCTTACTGTTAAGATTTGTCAAACAGTCTAATCAGTCAGTACTATAGGGCAAGAGGGTTACAGGTAAAGGTACGAATAACTGAATGTTCATAACTGTACAGATCATTTAGAAATGGTTAGAGTAATCAATTTCATAAAGGTACTTAAGACAAAAATGAAAGGTTTAGAATGTTGTTATTTATTCATATACCATAGTTGGATAGATTAATTATATTCAGTGAGGGAGGACTACGATAAGTCAAACGATTAAGGTTGTTGGCTAGAGTAGATAGATATGGAAAAGCAGATAAAGTTGTAGAACTTTTAGGATATAGTCAACATACACTTTATCAATGTGGCTAGAGAAAGTAAGATATTATTGATCACTGAGTGAGAACTGAAAGACACATACTACGGATTGTTTAATTTTTTAATTTCCTACTTACTATCGATTTCTGCCCCAAATGCGCTGGCACGGCCGAGGGTGAGGAGAGTTAGCTCTCCCCCTTCGAAATGCTCTCAAATGTATACGCGTATACAGCCACTGTCAGGGAAGTCCTATTCACTGCCTTTCTGCGACCTGGGTGTTGTTCACGAAATTGAGAGGATGAAAGGCGAATGTCCGGCCCTTTAGCCGGGTTCGTGGATATGGAGAAGCTACCTAGGGGAGTTGGAAAACCCTGATTCCAATCTAATGGTTTACATTGGCTCCACGATCCTGATGTAACAAATGGCATATGAACCTATTGTTTGTCACCATCTATAATGGGACTGAATTTCCTGACGTTGCTCCACTGACTTTTGGATCAGAAATTTAGCTTGAAGGCTCCGGGTGTAACCCCTCAAGAAAACCACCTGCTTCATTCTGAGCACCCGGTTAGTATCCTAGCCCATACAGAAATCAAGTGACTTGTGTGGCGCATATCTATTTGATGCCCCTTTTTACCAATATTTATGTGTTCAAATAAATAAATAAAACTGTCGACTTCTACTTTGCACTCACTGAATGTAAGGTGCTTATTGTATCAAATTGTATCAAATAAATTGTTGTTTATTCAATATTGTGGTTCTCTATATTCGATCGTGAATCTGAGATATAACGTCATTATCCAGTCTATGAATAACCTGTAGACAGATTGTGCAATCAAGTAATAGGTCACAGTTTTTATTATCGTATAATAGTAGTATATTGCTATAGACAGTCATTATTTTCTTATTTTACTTTACTTTGATTACGCCTTTTACTCCTCGTGGAGAAGCATAGTCCACCCACGAGCACTCACCATCCAACCCTGTCTTAGGCAATCCTTTCCTGTTCTTTTCAGTTGTTACTCAACCTTTTTATATTTACTCCTATTTATCGATGAAATGTGCTCTTTGATCTTCCTCTTTTCCGTTCACGTTACTGTTATATTATTTATGAAATCTATAAGAAAAAACAAACTAAAACTCATCTTTCAAAATAATTTCGTGAATTGGTTGAAGTTAGACATTAATACCGTTGAGTGTCAGCTGGCTCAACGGTCTAGTGGTTAAGCGCTCGCGCGTGAGACTGATAGGTCCTGGGTTCGAATCTCGCGAAGCGATATCGTGGATGAGCTCTGTTGAGTAGTCCAACGATAGAACGAAACAGTCGTCCAGTGCTTCCAGATTTTCCATGGTGTTCTAGCTTCAATTGACTCATGATCTCAACCATTAAAATTAATATAATATCCACAAAAACCCTTCCGATATAAAAATAATTTTAGACAATTCAAAACTAAGTCTTATTCATACTAAATTGATCATGGAATACTCTTTGTTCTTGAAGTGTTGTCTTTTCTCTCTCTCTCTCTTCAGTAAAGTGATGAAGTCCAACTTGATTGTATTCAAATCTTATGGTAACCAATTATAATCTTTAAGTATTACATATTATAATATTAACTTTAATAATATACTTGTTTACTAGTACTTACATATGTGATCATCAATCGAATTTACATTTAGATTGTTCAATGTACAAATTTTCAGCTTATTTGTTTGTTTGATTTCGATTATAAATTATATCACTTAGATAGAATCAGTATTATAACTCATAACAACAAAAACAGAATGTTGTTATTAATCTCTACCTTAATGTTTGTTGTAATGAATGGTAAACATTTTAGTCATTTACATTTTTGTAATTTAATTAATAGAGATTAATAGTGTAAAGTATGAAGAATATGCTAAGGTAAGTTATTTTTGTTTATGTTAGTTATTTTGATAAAGTTTATGTTTTCTAAAACGGGATAGTTTGATCGTGGTGCTTTTGTTGTTTATCTGAACAATATCATCAGAAAAAACTTTAGGTAAAAGTGAAATGTTCGAATTTCTTCACATATAGTTCACAGTTTGTCTAGTAGATCTCGATATTGACTGGTTTTTGGTGACTTTAAACCTGTCATTGTTTATTTCTTTGTTTTGGTTGTATGATTTTTGGCTCTATGTTTGTCCATAATTTTCTTGATTGGCTGATAAACTGAGTCGGTTTTAATGTGCTCGTTGATTGGTGATTGACCTGAGTGCCAAGCTTCTAAAAATTCTCTAGTGTTTTTGGAATTGCCTCTGTTTGAGATTTCCACATTTTTCCAGTTGCATGTGTGTCAGCAGCTGTTCACGTGCATTGATATCATTTACTCACTTAATTCATTCATTACGACTGTTACTCCTCGTGGAGAACCAGTCGTCAACCAGGGTTCTTCAAATATCTCTGTCCTGGACAATCCTTTCTAGTTACTATTCTTTTAATGTCGGCATTCAATCTTCGACACAGTGTGTCCCTCAGTCTTCCTCTTTTCCGTTTGCCTTCAGGATTACAAGCTAGGGATTGCTTCGTGATTCAATTTGTTGATTTCTACAATGTATGTCCTATACACTTCTAACGTCTTTTCACAATTTCCTCTTCAACTGGAAGCTGGTTTGTTCTCTCCCACAGAAGGCTATTGCTGATGGTATCTGGCCAATGGATGTTGAGTATCTTGTGTAGAAAACTATTTATAAATACTTGTAGCTTCTTGATGATGGTTATAGTAGTTCTCCATGTTTCATCTCCGTACATTAGAACTGTCTTGACGTTAGTATTGAAGAATCTGATTTTGATATTGGTTGACAGTTGTTTTGAGTTCCACATGTTGTTCAACTGTAGGAGTGCAGTCCTTGATTTTCCATTCCTCACCTTTACATCTGCATCCGGTCCTCCTTGTTCATCGATGATGTTTCCCAGGAATTCACATCTTCCAGGGTTTCACCACCACATGTGAATGGGTTAGTGTTCTCTGTGTTCTATTTGAGAATATTGCTTTTTCCTTTGTGTATGTTGAGGCCTACTGATGTATAGGCTGTTGATACAATGGTTGTCTTCATCTGCATTTTTTCGTGTGTATGTGATAGGAGGGCGAGGTCATCTGCGAAGTCCAAATAGTCTAGTTGCATCCAATTTGTCCATTCTATTCCATGTCTCCCATCAGATGTCAAGGTCTTCACAATCCAGACGACCGCCAGAATGAAGAGAAAGGGGTAGAGTAAGCGCCCTTGTCTGATACCAGTTTTCGGTTCAGGTACATCTGTTTGACATACGTTCAAATACTTCATATTGAAAAATTGTCATTTTTTTCATAATACAGACTAATCTACTAGTATTCCGTAGTCGCATTGATTAGTTTGATAAGAATGAAGTTGTACGTAGAGGTCTAAATAAATTGACCTTCACTCGTTGACCCTTTACATATAGTATCGTCATTATTGGACGAAAACACAAGGAAAAAATTCTCACGTTATTACAAATTATATTTAGATCGTCTATGTATCTCAGCTCATAAAGTATTTGTCGTGATTAACTTATATGTATGCCTGAAGCGAAAAAAGGTTCCTGTAATGTTGATGTAAAAGCTAATTACAAACAAGGAAGTGCAAATGACGGCTGGCAGTTTCGTTCAAAATCAATAATGACTATCAACAATCACAATCGGGGATATGAGTAAACAAAAATGTAGACTGTTGCATTTAAACAACGATTTACGGAACGTACAAAAACTGGAAATACTTGTTACAAGGTTGATGGAATGCAATTACAATGATCAATGCAGTAAATATGAATAATTTATGTATTACACAACGAATAAACATGTTGGATGTCGGCTCACTGATCTAGTTCCTTAAGCGCCTGGCGCAAGACTGGTAGGTTCTGGGTTCGAATCCCGCTAGGCGAGGTCGTGGGTGAGCACTGCTATGGAGTCACATGATAAGATGAAACGGCCGACTAGTGCTTCCAGGTTTTCCATGGTGGTCTAGCTTCAATTGATTCATGATCTCAACTGTTGAAATTACTACAATCTACACAAAACCCATTCTGATACGAATAAACATGTATCACATCATGTGCTCAAAAAAATATTAGAAATGCAATTATTCTCCATTGTATTGTCTGTTCATGAAAAAGAGGTATTGTCTTTGTTTGGGATTAAAATTTTCTGTTCCTAGAACACAAATTTCAGAAATGCAATTGTTTACTGATTATTAATAAGTAGTGTAGCGCAATAGACAAAATTGAGTTGTGTTATCGAATTACGACAGTGAAAGCAAAGGAACTGAATAATTTTGTTAAAAATTGTTTTTTTTGTCATTTCTTTTAGATGTCCATCTTAAATACGGACCCACCTGACTGTCATTTTCGTAAGAATAACTTCATAGCCTATTTTTACTGTCATCATCTACTTATTTCAACTTCATATTAGATTGAATATAGAATTATATTAAAATTTCTTATTGAATGTCTTATGTAATAATCAAGGTTTCATTAAATGAAAATAATTGTCAATTAAGGCATAAGAATCAACTTTTGCTTGAAAGCGTTCAGAGAATCCTTACAGTATTCAAGTATACAAATAACTGAAAGAAAAAATACCTTAATGTTATTAGATGTTAAATCAGATTGACTCAATAAACTTCATTATTAACGAAATATTGATAGACTACTGTAATAATTGAACTTAATGAATGACATTCCTCCATAAAAAGAAAACATTTTTCACAATCTAATTTACTACTGATCAGAAACCAAGAGTTATTGGATAAATTTTGTATTCTGATTTGTGATTCTGTAATCATATATACGCGTAATGTATCACAAGGAACTCATATAGGAAGCAATAATCGATGGATTCTATCGAATTCGGAGTGAAACAGTAACACTAATTTGGTTCTATGTTATAAATTAACTGAATTTATAGAAGTGGACAACTAAATTTCATTTAATTAGTCGAAAGTTATTGCCCTTAACACAAGACCTAACAATTTTGTGTTTGATTTAGTCTAGGATTGTGGTTATATACTTGTATAATGTTCTTATCTAGAACAAGAAATTCATCTAGTGTTAACTTTCCTTGAATAATTCACTACGAGTTATAAATTAAGATATTATTTATAGATTTGTTACATTTACTTTTGTTTAGGTTTTCATGTTAACTAGAGTCTAATAGTTGGATTCATGAGTTAATTAAAGCTAGACCACTATCGAATCCCTTGAAGCAAAAGACGACCATCTCGTCCTAATATAAGACTCCTCAGTAGTGCGCATCCACGATCCCTCCCGCGGGATTTGAATCCAAGACCTATCGGTCTTGCGTGCAAACACTTAACTAAAATTTGGTTTGAAAATAAGTGAACGTTTGTAATAGTAGAGTTGATGTTTGGACCAAAATTACTGATTGTTTGCTAATTCAGACTAGTAGATAGTCTGACAGGCACAAGATAAGTTATATATTCTCTTACCCTTAATATTCTTGCGATTATTGTAGGTTTTTAGTTCTAGTCAGGCTAGTCACGTGTTCTTGATCTGAGCTGTATTGAAGTGCTGTAGAATCCACACTGGGAGGGTATCTAGTGTAGGTATTCGTCTAATTCAAATTAGCATCCAATTTGTGTCAGACGAAGCAAACTGAGAGTTATAACACAAGTTAAATAAGATTAATTCAATTTACACAGCATGAAATGTTGTTAAAATCATTATTTAGAAAAAATCTGTTAATATATCAAGTAACATTTTACAAAATACTCTGGTTATTATCTATTGACTTATAAGTAGTAGAAAAGCGTTTCATCTTGATTTGGTTAAGCAATTTGAATGCTATCTAGTTTGACAAATAGTCACAGGTTACGTATGCCAGAACCCCGTTTACTTCGACGCACAATGCTGTCTAAAGTTGAAGACGGTTGGAAGAAAGTTAGGGGAGGTCAAACCAAAACGTGACATCAGTGCTTAAAGTCACTAACTTCTAGTCTGAGCCATGTTGGTAGGTGCAGACTACTTGATTGAGGTTCGCGTGACTGTCGTAACCAATGGTTAGAGACTCTGCTTGACATGACTCAGAATCGACCACAATGGCGTCGGTGTATACACTCTCTATTTTCACTTAAACTAAGAGATTAAAATCGCTTCACATCTTTCTTTCTACTAACTAATTCTTTTCTTCTGTACTATATCCTTATATGCAATCTATCTTTTATACATTACTACCACTGAAGTGAATACTTCTATGAATTTGGTGTTCATGTTGTTGTGTTAATGAGATATGGCAACTTGGAGTGATGCATATATATGCCTAATCCTACGTTGTAGCTGACTGATTCACTGACTGATATATAGTCACTTAAATTTTTCTTAGAATCTATGGAAACATTTATTATAAATATTCTTTTTTTATTTCTAGTTTGTGAACTTTGTACTTCAACAGTAAATGCTACTAAATACATATTGGATAATGAACCATTTATACCGAAAATACTTAAAAATCTTATGCCAATTTGTTATATGTTACCAAAGTTACAATATCGAAAAATTGTATGTTTTAATCAAATCAATTTAGTTTAATCGATTTTTCTTTCTAATTGTTAAGGTATATAAACAAATCATCTTTAAGTTTTTGATGGAGTTTCATTGTGTGAAATGGATGGCTTAGTCGTGGAACATTCATTGTTCTTCTGAACGACATCATCAGCAAACTTCTACCTGAAGTATGTGTTGAAGATGTCGTTCGGAATAACGATGAAAGCTCCATCCAGCTCAGAGAACAAAACTCCATCGAAATCATCCACCTGAGCTACAAATCTTTGCCACTATCTTTAAGTTTATTTCACTTCATAATGTTAAATTCCCAAAATTAAATAATTTGAGAATATTAGTTATATAGGAATCTGAAGGAGGTTGTTGAATTTCATTATTAATGTAATGAATTTACTGTAATTAAACCACTGTTGAAAGTTAGTAAACATTGAACTGTTGTTTTGTTCTAGTATGAGATTCCTTAATAGTGAACACCTACGACCCAATCATAGTGTATCGAACTCGAAATCCTAAAATCTGACCTCAGGTACTTCACCTCTAATTCATTGAGTTAATATTAATAGTTTAAAATTCTAACTGTGAAGGTTAAACACTTGTTGTAAGACCTGAAGATCCTTTGCCAGGTAGTGGATATGCACTACTGAAAAGCCCCATACTGGGGCGTACTGTGAAATATACTCCTTTTTGGAGTAGCTCTACTAGAGTGCATAAACATTGGCTACTAGTTTAGTCGTTAAGGAACAGCAATTGAAATATATAGGACCTGAAAATATTAAGCCTTATTATGATGAAGAACAACAACAACGAACAGTCAGTCAGACTACAAAATCTTAACCTGAAATTCATGATTAAATTATTCTGTTGTACAAAACTATTCTTTTTCTCATAAATTATAGTTAATGTTTGAGTCACACTGTGGTGTGTGCTACTGATGTCGACAGATATAAGTAGAATGTATCATCAGTCGGAATTGAAATGTTTGGCTTCATAAGGTTAAGAAGATTAAAGAAAAAAGAACAAGAACAAAGAATGATTGATGTGGAAACAAAAGAACAATGAAATCTGAGTAAATTGATTGACATTTTCCAAATGAAGTATTTACTGTATGATTCTCAGATTTTACTAAGGGATTCTGTAATTTATAGTTCAAATACATTCGATTATTCCCACTTGTGTTCACATTCACTACACCATGTGCAATACTACTTCCCTTTAGATTGTAGATAAAGCTTTTAACTAAACGACAACCTGACATAAAATTCAAATCAAAGAAGGGTTTGTTGCTCAACTGATGCTTAAACTTAAACCTGTCTCCATATTACCATTTTTTAATGGATAGCATTCAGTCAATGCCCTAGACTAGGTAAACATGAAATTGATTATGACTTAATAGTGATTATTCAATGTAACTACTATTCTTTATTATTAAAACTTATTCGTTTTTGTGTGTGTGCCTCTCATTATCTACGTTAATTCCATTCGGTTTAGTGTTATCATCTTGTAGACGGTGGTGCAGTTGATATAATTCATGAATTGGTGAATAAAATTGATGAAAATAACTTTTGTTTTGTAAGTAAACACTTTTTTTTTCTCTTTATTGTTCATGTCAATGAAACCAACTTTCAATGGTTTTAATTAGACTATTATTGAAAAGCAACAAGACCTAGACAGTTGTTTCATCCTAGTATAGGCTACTTCAGTAATATACATTCAAAACCTTAGCACAGAGGATATAACTCAAGAGTATTTAAGTCTCGCGGGAACCACTAAGTTAGTAACCAGTGGTTTATATCTCTAGATTGTTATCATTATGATGAAAATAACAGAATATATCATCATCAAATGATTAATAAAGTTATTAGATGAATGTAATTAGGATTATACAGTAGATGAAAATGTTTCAGGGTCACTGTTTATGGTAGGAAAAAGAAGAATGTATTACAATTTTCTTCTCCTTATATGTTAGATACATAACAATAACCTCTGTAAAATGAAATGTAGGTAATGTTCCGTATTTGTTAATTATTTTAAAAAAAGAATTTATTGGTTAAAATAATCAGTTTTAATCTATTGAATTGCAAGTTGGAAGATTACTCTTGTTTATGAATCTGGCCACCAAATATTTTACTATGTTGTTGCTACCTTGACGTGGTGGCCGGGCTTGCCTATCGTGATGAAGCAACCAAGCTTTACTGGCTAGAACATCCGTTCCTCAAGGTCCTATCATATCAGACAGGTCGGTTGAAGAGTGGTGAGACTAAAAGCAACAAACTCAAGATCCGAAGGCGAAGTCATACTGCTGATTGTACAGAGGTGTGATTGTAGTAAGGTGTTTCCTTCAGAAAACCAGCATGACAGTGATGCTGCCATCTCACAAGGACGGGCGGGTTAAGAAGAGGTTGACCGTGAAAATGCACATCTCGCTTTATCTCACGGATATCCGTCACCGTTGGTAAGGTCTCAACAATTATGGAGCTAACACGAAAATTATTGACAAAAAGGTCGTGTGTGACCGACCTCCAGCAGTTGTCTGTTGGGCACTGCGGTCTCTCTCTCAAATCTTTAAGACCACCTTTAATCCAATTTCCTTTTTATGTATCTCCAGAATAGCCTTTTCTTGGGGTGGGCAACCATGAAGTGATAACTGCTCTCATACTTCTAACAGCACTCAAGGCCACTGATTGACTGACTATGTTGTCTCATCAAATTATAGTAGTAGTCTAGAATCATTATCAATCCTTCTTCTTACTTAGCCCTGACTGTTAAGTCCAGAACACCAATATCGGCCTCCGCAATATGAATCATATATTTCAAACATACTGGGTTTATATACAAGCCAAACAGACCACATCGTATTATAAAATACAAAATACACATTTATACAAGATCTAACCAAAATAGTGACTGTGAATGTGGGAGATTTTAATTAATAAACTGGGCATAAATCAAGAATGATAAATCGTATAATAATAGTTCATGGGTCAAAATAAATCGTTTAATAAGAGGAACCTAAATATGCATAGTTTAGCTACTTAACAATTATACCATAAGAATATATGTATAATATTAGTTCATAAAAGGATCCCAACAGTTACCATTCATTATTCTCGTTGGGATATAACAATTACATTTCGAAATAATAAACTATATCAATTCTATTCAATTGTAGCATATTGGATTATGTCATAATACAATTCCATGCCCAAGTTTTCAAAAGACATTGACCTGTAAGTAATATAAAGATTTGTTCATTTATCTGATGATTAATGATTGATCCATATCCTTCCTGTCTTAAATCATATACTTGCTCATTAGCTTGAGTTTTACTTTCCAATTCACTTGTAATACCAAATTCACTATCTCATAGAACTAAGTATTTAACTTCTGGTTTTACATTGTCTAATGAAAACCGGATCTCTAGTGCTTAGATCATTAAGTATTCTGAAGATATACCAAAATGGTACCTTAAAAAGAGTTAAATTCTCAAGAAGAAATTTTTCAAGTCGATAAGTTTCGATAATAATTAAACATTAATTTTGAGATAATAATGAAAGCCAATTGGGTTTATTTTGTGTTTTTTGGTAGTGACTGATAGATTTATTCAATATAGTAAAGCTTATAAGTATACGCTTGAATGTATAGTGTTGAGACGTTTGAACGTAATTTAAAACGTATGTATAATAGTTTATTAGCACTACAAGTGCTTGTTAGCAAACAGCAAGAAATGATTTTTTTTTGTATACACTTCGTGACCGATTTTTACTCATCAACAAGACGTATCTACAACACTGAGGGAACTGACACCTTCCTATGTGGTTTCAACCTGTATCGTCTCGAGTTGTATTGTTACTGAGTTTTAAATTAAATGTCATGTTTGTTCAATGGTTGACGATAATTGAATTTTGTAGATCAAGTTGTAATGTGTCTACTATTCTAAATGACTTTATACCATGTTTTGATGTTAGAACACCAGTTTCCTCAGCTTTACTGGTATATCATGTTGACATGGAACCTGGATCAAATAAGGATGTTCCGTCAGTAATGTCTGGCCAAATCTTTCATGTCATTTGTGAAAATGAATAATAAATATTAATTACTATTGATTATAATTTAAGTATGTTTAAAGTTATTGTATTTTCATTTCAGATAATGACTTGTCTACTTAGATAAATTTTATTGTGTTGAATTCATACAACAAGAAGATAGATCTTTTGAAATGATGGAAATACACTTCATAATATTGACAATTATTTCAATCTACCTGTGTTTCTTATTTCATGGGATTTATTTCGTCAGTCAGTCAGTCAGCTACAACATAGGTACAGGCATATATATATGCATCACTCCAAGTTGCCATATCTCATTAACACAACAAGATGAACACCGGATTCATAAAAGTAGTTAATTCAGAGGTGATAATATATAAAAGAAAGATTGCAATAAGGATATAGTACAAGAAGAAAGAATTAGTTGGTAGAAAGAAAGATGTGAAGCGACTTTAATCTCATAGTTTAAGTGAAAATAGAGAGTGTATACACCGACGCCATTGTGATCGATTCTGAGCCATGTCAACCAGAGTTTCGAACCATTGGTTACGACAGTCACGCGAACCTCAATCAAGTAGTCTGCATCTACCAACATGGCTCAGACTAGAGGTTAGTGACTTCAAGCACTGATGCCACGTTTTGGTTTGGCCTCCCCTAACTTTTTCTCCCAACCATCTCCAACACCGGTTAGCATTGCACGTCGTGGTAATCGATGTTCAGGCATACGTAACACGCGGTCCAACCATCTCAATCGATGAAGATTCACAACCTCATCATGTGACTTACCATCATTCCCTAATACCCTGCGTCTAACCTCACTATTACTTACCCGGTTATCTCAGTAGATGCGAGCAATATTTCTAAGGCATCTGTGGTCAAATGCTAGTAGCTCACAAGTATCTTTTACTCTTAATGGCCGCGTTTCGCTGCCATAAATTAAAACAAAACGAGCTGCCGCGCAGTATACTCGTCCTTTTATTGATAGACGGATATCTCGCCTTCGCCATAGAAGACGTAAGTTGGCGAAAGCCAAGGATAGAAAACATAAGTGTTGGTGTCAGTGATAAATTGTTACATAATAGGAGATTGATATATTTAAATTAGATTCAAAGTATATGACAGAACTACACATCGTTCTATTGGTTACTAAACTTTGTTTTTTTGATAATGATTAGAAAGATTGATTATATTCGATAATAAGTTATATTAGACGTAGATGTAGTGTGTAAGTTGTTTACAAACTTTATTTGCATAGCTTTCATATATTTAGGTCATTAAGATGATCCAAGAAGTTTTCCGTTAGAAGACCTTACCAACATGAAAGAATAGCATAGATTTTATAAATTGGAAAATTCGACTAAATGGTTATGAACATCACTTGTGTAATAGAAATGAAATTATATGAATTAGTTTATTTATGTCAATGAGCGTACAGCAACAGATTGAATCAAATGATTTTTTTGGAGGGGAGAGGGACTCAGATATCATTTCAATTATAAAAATAGAATAATGAGAAGTGATTAGAATGAAAATTTCAACTGAACAGTTTATAAAATGTAGATGATATCCGAAAATTAGGCCTAACAACCAGGTTTTAATTGGTTAGACAAACCTGAATTCATGAGTCAATTAAATTTAGACCACCATGGAAAATGTGGAATCACTCGACGGCAATTTCGTTCTCGTACTGAACTCAGCAATACGCATCGACGACCTCGGCTCGCGGGATCCAAACCCAAAACCTTCAGTCTCGCGCGTGAGCTCTTAACTTCCAACGGTGTTAATATCTAACTTTAAGCAAAACTGATTTTTCTCAATCGCCTATAACTTATTATCATGTTTGTTTTACGCTTGTATATGGCATATATGCATGTCATTTTGTCGTTTAAAATAAACTACTTTTCTGACTGGTAGTTTTGTCTTTCATCTAAAATTATACGGATGCTTACTTAAATAATTCGGTTTGATGAGTAGCGTTCACTCACCGACATCATATTGTTGCATTTCATCTACCAATCAACATTTTTATCTTTTATTTTCAACAATCAAAATTTCGTTCATCATACGATTGTTAACATGGAGTACAATAAATAAACAAAATATTCAATTGCAATTATTCATATCAGTATAGTGTTGTGTCGATTTTTGATTGAGATCACGAGTCGATCAATATTAGATCACCATTGAAAACCTGAGAGCACTGAACAACTGTCTTTTCCTAGCATGGGACTCCTCAATAGTGCACATCTACGGTCCAGTACCAAAGGGAATCGAACCAGGAACCTCTGGTCTCGCGCGTGATCTCTTAACCTCTAAACGATTGAGCTCTAAAGAGCTAGAGAAAGAATAGTGAGTACAATCGAAATATTTCAATGAGTGAAAATAAGTGAATCAATAGTATATGTAATAGGAGAGTCATTTCAATCAAAGAATACATTCATGAAGAATTCTTTGAGTGAAAAGGGTTCCTATTACTTTTGTAAAAGATGTGAAAAAAAGCTCCATCAGGATTGTCATTGACTTCTAGCCTAAGTCATATCTAATAATAATTCAACCCAGAGTTACACCATCTCTAAGGCCTCAGCCATGGAGCCGCGATGGATCAATAGGTGCCAATCCTAAACAATTTACTTTCATATCAAGACAAATTTCCACAAATATCTTACTAAAATAATAATCAAGTCGTTATTAATACCCATTTTTAAGATATAATATCCTAAAGTTCAACGAAGGGATTAATTAAGTTAGAAGAGGAAACTGATGGACTACTGGTTATTGAATAAAGAACAGTCGTTCTATCTTCATGAAAGATACGTTAAATTGCAATAAGGTGAATTAATTTTTCACTAGGTGTGTTGTAAGTGTACACCTACAGTTCAAATTATGAGATGGAAAAGATCTGTAGCTCAGGTTTAAGGTCAAAATGAACCAATCAACATCAAGGTTTACAGAACAAGCTGTGAAACGCATATGGATGAATTTGAACACTTCACTTCTATTTTAAGTTTATGCTGATGATGTTGTTCAGAATAACGATAAAAGCTCCATGACCAAATCATTCAGCTCAAAGAACAAAAATCCATAAAAAAACGGTTCAAATTAACCTTTAAAAATTTACTTGTTGTTCAATGACTTATCAACTAATCTTAGTTCCGGATAAAAAAATTACCTTCAGATTATATAAAATTCCCTAAAAGGCAAATAATTAAATCAATAAGTGATTATACATAAAAGAACTCAACATAAGTCAAAAGCACATTTATCATGTATGCGAAGAAGAGAAGAATAACCAACTACCTTTTCTAGATATGTTGATTGGTAGAAGAGATAATGGTTCTGTCAAACGTTCTATATATAGAAAGCTGATATGGACAGTGTAATATCTTAATTTCCATAGTCATTACCCAATCCATTACAAAGGTGGATTATTCAATAAAATCAATTATATTTGTACTAGCGATACTATTGAAGTAAAGATGTAGCTCTTGACTGAAATATTAATGAATATTGGGTTTTTATTGACATTCATAAACTACTGGGAGGGTAGCGATACGATTAGACCTATGACTCTTCTGGCGCCCAAAAAGCGAGTTTACATTATTTTACCACTTAGAGGTCATTCAAATAGTCTCATGTTGAAACGATGATTTAAATTAGCCATCAACGAGACATTTTATGCAGTCCAAGGTTTATGTTTCATTAAAAACCTGAACAGCAAATAAGCGATTGTATCACATCCAATTGTGTCTATTAATTTACGTGTATGTGTGGAAACACGTACATGAGAAGGAGTAATCATGATCTGCAAGTTAGGCTGGCTGAACACATGCCTAAATGGCTCCAAAAACAAATGATTCCCAATGGCCAAATAAGATCCCAGGATAGACAAACATCTTCATCCATTGTGAAACATTTGGTTGAGACCAGTCAACCATTGTAGTTTTGTACAAAAGTCTTCAAGTGCGTCTACCAAAGTTTTTCGAAGCCATGATTATACGCAAACTGAAACCCCATCTATGTATTCAAAAACAATTTGTTCTTACCCTTAACCCTACCCTGATAATACTGATTTATTATTCAGTGATTTTCACAATGTTTTTGTGTACTTTATCATTATGTTTAATCTGTCTACTTGACCTTTTATTTTTCATATAAAAATGTCGTAACAAGTATATTATATGTAGTCCAACTATTCTGAATGTATTGCTCAAATATATTACGTAATTCTGACAACCCGCATCTTCTTATTTCATTACCAAACTTTGTTAAATCGACTAGCTGATTTCATTTCCTTAATTGTCATTCCCAAAACTCTCTATTATCATTTCAATTCATGTATTAATTAGTAAATATGAATAAACTACTGAATCACTTAATGAGTAATATATATTGAACATGGACCAATTTCAACACATGAGATCGTGTGTCGCTTGGAGCTAGACCACTATGGAAAACGTGGAAGCATTTGACGACCATCTCGTCCTATTGTGAGACTTCTCAGCAGTGTGCATCCACGATCCTGCCCCGTGAGATTCTAACCCAGGGCCTGCGAATGCTTAACCACTAGACCGTTGAGCCGGCTGGCATTCAACGGTGTTAATGTCTAACTTCGACCACTGCACAAAATTGCGCCGTAATTCCATCAATGTCTTCAATATTAAAACGTTAAAACATTACATTAACTTTAATCGAGATATGATTTGACATTTTTTCCCTTTTCATACCTTTTATTCAAGTTTAACACCGAATAAAAATTCCTTTCAGATTTTCTAGTGGTTAAGCGCTCGCGCACGAAACCGACAGATCCTGGGTTCGAATCTCATGAGGCGGGATTGTGGATGCACAGTGCTGGAGAGTTTCACGATAAGACGACACGGCCGTCCAGTGCTTCAAGGTTTTTCGTGGTGATCTAGCTTCAATTGACTGATGATCTCAACCATTAAGTAACTAGAATATCCACAAAAACCCCTTCTGATATTGACCAGTTTGTTTAATTCACTATAAACTGACATAAATCATAGTTATTCAATAGTTTTATAACAGAATACCATAGATTATCTATCATATAATCATGTACATATGAACTTTGATACACAAAGAGAAGGCTTAAATAATTTTGTTTTTCTGAAACTGTTCAAGAAAGATAACAACAAAAATTCTTAGATCAAAGTATTTCAATCATTATTACTATTATTACTATCATTATTACTACTTTGATTATTATTACTATTATTTCAAGTATTATTTATTCTATGCAACTAAATGATCAGTCCAGTCTATTTATTTAAGATAAAAAGATTTAAACAACTGTTTGTGATTACTATTTGAACTATTATAGATAGATAGATACTTGGAGAGAGATACTTGGAGTTTCTGAGTAAACATACAGTTGAGATAATGTTCGCTAAAATCTTTCTCCTAATATCTCTACTTGGTAAGATGTATAATGTTTTGTATTTTTTTGTGTTTGTTTTGTACCATTCAATAATAATTATTTAGGTTTGAAGAATACAATCTACGGAGAACCTATTGAGGTATGTATTGTTATGTATAACAATGATATTATTCTCTTCAAAGAAATTTTATGTAGTTTTTGGTGTTTGATTATAAATTCTGAGATCCATGGTTAGCTGTTGACAGTATCGTATGATTGTTATGAACTACATATATATGTTATGAGATAGAAATATGAATTATTAGATAAGTGATTTGAAAGTCATGTATTCATTCAGCGATTCAAAGGCTTTTTTTGGTTGGATAGTACGTTCACATCAATCAGGAGGAGGAAACTTTTTCTAAACACATAAACATTGGTACAAGGAGGCACCAAATAGATATGCGACACACAAATCTCATTTGATTTGTGTGAAGGCTGTGATACTGCCCGGGTGCCCGAATCGAAGCAGGTGGTCTTCTTAGGGGGGCCACACCCCAACACTTTGATCTAAACGTCTGATCCACAAGGCAGTGCAGTAACGTCAGAAAATCCAGTCTCATGGTAGCCGGTGACCAACAACAGGTTCATACGCCATTTGTCCCTTCAGGATACTCGAGCTCATGTTCACCATTGGTTTGTAATCATGGATTTCCGACTCCTATAGGTGGACTCTCGGTGTTCACCAACCTGGGTAAAGTGCCAGATATTCGCTTTCCATCCTCTCAATTTCGTAAAAAACGTTCCCACTGCGAGAAGTCAGTGAGTAGGACTTCCCTGGCAGAGGCTATATATGCGTGATCATATGAGAGCATTTGGAGAAGGAGAGCTAAATCTCCCCACTCTTGGCCATACCAGGCATTTGAGGGCTGGAACAACTAACAAAAATATTGGATGCATTTAGTACTATTAAATATGTAGATGAGTATTATTACAGGATATCTGAATTATTTCTGTAAGTGTTATATACTTTAAACTTGATGCATTAGATTGCAGAACACAACACCACGAATATCCATATTCTCTATAATTTGAATGCTTAAATGTAACATTGATTCCTGACTTTAGAAATACTCCCTAAGGAAAAACTTCACTCTTAGAAAGAGGAATAAAATCATAATATCATTCACAAAGTTAGCTGTAAATATATTGATCTTAATCACTTAAGCTTATTCGATCAATAATCTCCATGGAAACAACATGAAAATCAACAGCTCATTCAAAGTTTTACTTGAATTTCAGAGTTCTGTAAATGATTTTGAACAACTGGAATGTCAATTAAGTGAGTTATTAAGATTTAGATTTATTTAAACTTATGATAGACAGTACTTACTTACTCCTGCTACTCCTTGTGGAGGAGCATAGGTCGCTTACCAGCACTTTCCATCAAACCTTGTCCTGGGCAATCCTTTCCACTTCTTTTCAGTTGTTATTCATCCTTTTCATATTCGCTTCTATTTCCCGACGTAATGTGTTATGATAGACAGTAGGTTTGGATAAATTTGCTTATAAACTAAACCGAAATCATAATTACTATTTGTGTTTACAAAACAGAACCAGCTAATGACGTTGTTGGTTTCTCTAATTTAAGAAGTTTGCTTCTATGTGAGGGGTAAACTATGTTTACGTTGTCTTGAATGACAATGAAAGCTTCATAACTAAACAGTTTAACTCAATGAGGTTAAAAACATTAAACGTATCCATTTGTACTAAAAGTCTTCTTCACTAAATTATAACTAGCTTATATTCAACACAAAATTAGTGATTAATCAAAGCCAAGTTTAATTGATCTATAAATCATCTATTATAACAATGGGCTATTAATCGAAAACTTTACTGAAAAATAAAGACATCCTTCTTCTAATTAACATTTTGTATATTACAAAGAATATACCATGTTTGAAGCGATTATGAGTTCACGTAATCTGAGAACAGGACGAAGACTCTGTGACATGATAACAGATAAGCTAGCTGTTTCGCTGCATCCCAGTCCAGCTTGCTACAGAGAGAACTTCAAGTTCGAAAGAGGGAAATATATTCCACAAGCATTCAGAATCACAAACAACCACGACAATTCTAGTCGGAACTACATTCATTTATAGATTGATTCATACACCCATTTTTTGATTAATAATTAGGATGAAATCACATATATGAAAAAAAATATCAAGAGTTATAACAAATCATATGCTGAGTATGATGGAGTTTTGTTCTCTGAGCTGGATGGTTTGGTCGTGGAGCATTCATCGTTATTCTGAAAAATATCATTATCTACCTGAAGTATGTGCTGACGATGTCGTTCAGAAGAACGATGAAATCTCCACGGACAAACCATCCATCTCAGAGAATTAAACTCCATCAAAATTATCCACCTAAGCTACAAATCTTCTCTACCATCTCAATATGCTGAGTATAGTTCATATTAACGTAATACAAGTATATCGTATATTATACAGAATAAAATGTTACTCTGAGAAATAGAAACAAATACTATACTAATCATCACATTGAATTCAAATGGAATTAACGTTGAATACAGATCATTCCCACCATATCAGAATTACAAATGGTTGTTAAGATTGTTTCAGAGATGATACTGTACTTTATTCTCTTGTATACTTTTTTTCTTCCAAGTTTGTGAAACTTGTGTTATGAATGTTCGTGGTATTCGATGGTTACTTTTGCAAAGTTATACACGAAAGATTGCAGCTGAACTATTATCTGTAATGTGTAATTTCTTTCCATATAAACAACCTCGTGCTCAAGTAGGTTTTATACTTTATCTATACTACTATTTTCAATGTAAATCATAATGATTTAAAATATTGTAGTTTTCTTTTTTGTCTTAAAGTTATTTGATTGAATTTTCAGAGAGACTATAATTTTCAATTGAGATTATGAACCGATTGATGTTAAACCATCATTGAAAACCTGGGAGCACTGGACGGCCGTTTCGTCCTATTGTGGGATTCCTCAGCAATGCGCATCCACGATCCCACCCGCTCGATTCGAACCCAGGGCCTTCAGTCTCACACGTGAACGCTTAACCTACTGGACCACTGAGCCGGCATACGATGGTGTTAATATCTAACCTCAACGAATCCACGAAATCGTGCGACCATCTTCCATTATACTGAGGTAGACACCTGTTTCTATCTGACATGGAGACTATAATTTATGGACGAACCAATCAGATTTAAGATAACAGGTCTTGAATTTCGGCGCGAGATTCACCCATCCATTTGGTTATATAATGTTTTGGTATTATAGCTGGTGTCCGTTGGTGATGAAAACTCCAAATCTAATTCTTAACCCTTAACCGTCAACAGTAAATCTTAATTCTAGTTCCTCACACAGGTTTATAACCCACATTTGATCCTAATTATTAGGTGGACACTCTCAAGGTTACTTTAGTGTCGTTCAAAGGTTGTCCATAAATGATAGTCTCATCGAATTTTCTAAGAGAGAATTACAAAACTAAACTTCAACTATTCATTTTGTTCTTTACTAAATAATATCCATTAACCTATATAATTCATGTCTATGTGAATTACATGGTTACAAGTTACGTCAGTAAACTTGTTGTGAACGCGAACACCAGTGACGGACAGTCGAATATATTTGAACACACAATTACAGAATGTGTTAGTAAAATCTGAGAATCATACAGTATATACTTCATTTGCAAAATATCAATCAATCGTCTAAGACTTCACTGTTTCTTCGTTTCCACATGAATCACTATCTACTGTCTTTCTTTTCTCTTGTCGTTGATCTTCTTAACCTTCTGTCGCCAGAAATTTCACTTTCGACTAATGATACATACTACTTATATTTGTTGACATCAATAGCACATACCACAAAGCCTGTGGTATACACGATATAATCAGATTACAATGTTAAACATTGTAGTAAGCGGAATAATACGTATTGATTAATAATTTCCAGTAAACTGCTATGTGAACTTTCATTCATGGTGATTTAATCATCTTTCTTAGTTAAACATCAAGTTACCAAATTCAAGTATTCACTTGTGAGACTAGAGATCTTCAAGTTTTTGATCACCATTCATGTATTTTAGAAGGTTATACTGTTTAAAATGAGCGTTTCTGTACATTCTTCCTGTATCTAGTGTATTTCTTTATTACCAACCCATTAAAATCCTATTTCTTATCTACAATCCTCACAAACTGAATAACCGTTTACCAAAGTTAAACGACATTCGAAAATGGATTCATGTTAGTTAATCACTGTGTTGTAATCAATATTATGTTAGCATAGTTTTTAGTGCTAGTCGATAGAAATCGATCACCTTTAAAGACTAGAGGAACGCAATAAAAAAACATGATGTATTTTGATATTGGATCAAATTGACAAGTTATGATATTGCAATATGACAATAGGAAATTCAACAACCTCCTTTATATGATGTCTGTCGGTAGATAATGACAAGCATGGCTAGAGAGGAAAGCTCTGATAAGTGATTTTTATTGCAGTAAAATTTAAGACTAATTAAAAACGTGATTGAGATCATGAATTGATCAATGTTAGACCACTATTGAAAACCTGGAAGCACTGGAGTTCACTCGTGCCTGGTGTGAAACAGTTACTCACTAAACACAATGGAGAACAGTCGCGTAATATTGTGAATTAGTTGAAGTTAGACAATAACAACATCGTACGCCTACTCAGCGGTCTAGAGGTTAGGCATTTACGCGTGAGGTCTAAGGTCCTGGTTTCGAGTCCTTTTGGTGCCGCCGAGTGCTTCCAACTTTTGAATAGCGGTCTAGCCTACATCGGCTCATGAATTCAACTATAAACATATATAAGTACCTATCAATGGAACAAACCTTTATGCTCATAATATCTTATAATATACAATTGAAATATCTAACAATTTATTAAAACGTATCAATATAAATTAATCTAATTTTTACATTTACTGTTATGTTCAGTGTAAACGTTTCTTTAAAGGACCATTTGATGGGATAGTTCATGATTTTGTTGTAAACATGAGTGTTTATGAACCATGTCAAGTAAGTTTTTGGTTAAAAAAAAACATTTTTTGTAAACCTTTATAATTAATCAATAGTTTTTTTTATTTTTTCATATTATAAAATATAGGATTATGTAACTATACTAAATGTCAGTATAGAGTCGTGAAGATTATCAAGTTTTTGATTGAGATCATGAACCAAATGATGTTAGAACACCATTGAAAACCTGGAAGCACTAGACGGTCATTTCGTCTTATTGTGGGACTCCACGAGCCCACCAGCGGGAATCGGATATAGAGCCTTCATTCTTCAGCACAAACACTTAACATCTAGACCACTGAGCCGGCATTCAACGGTATTAATTTCTAACCTCAATCAATCCACGAAATTGCACGACCATCTTTCATCGTACCCGACGCCGATTAGCTCCACTGATCACGGCTTCTCACTAGAACTCGGAAAATTCCCTCACGTAGCTAGTCTCAATCACTATACTAAATATGATTTTTAGTTACATAATTTCTTGTAGATTTTGATTATTTATAGTTGGTGGCTGGAAACTTATGTAATAGATTGGAAGTAGCCAAGTAATATATTTCTTATTAGTGTGTTCAGGATATTAAACAGTAGAAATTATGCTGTTACGTAATTCATATCACAGACTGATTTTACATAAACCATTGAACGACGCCAAAGTGACCTTGAAAGTGTCTACCTACTTACTGGGGCTAAATGGGAGTTATAAAGCAGTTTGAAGAATAAGGATTATGATTCACAGTTGATGGTTAGGGTTAGGAATTAGATTTACGATTTTTCATCACGAACTGATATCAGCTAAAATGTCAAAACGCTATTTGGCCAAATAGGGGGGGGGGAATTTTGCTCCAAAATCCAAGACCTGTCATCTTAAATCTGATTGATTCTTCCATAAATTATAATCTTGCAGCATTACTTCTGATATGGTTAAACTCCACTGATCACATCTTCTTATTGAAAATCCAGGAATACCACTTAGAGTTAGTCATCAATATATGAATCATTATTAGTTAAAAGCATGAGTGATGAGTGGAAATTGCTCAATCTAGACAAACTTATCTTTAAACTGTTATTGAAAATATGTAATTTGTGTTTTTTTTTCGGTACACACTTCTTGAAGTATCTTGGACTTTGTGAAACAGTTCAACAAGAATCGATGACAAGTCTAGATGATTCATTCTGTAAGTTACTTTATATTTATGCATATATAAGTTATTAACAGTTAACAAACTGTGGAGCAATGGTTTAGTATTGATAGTGTACACAACTTTCGACAATGAAGTGGATGTTCAAAGCACAACAAATCTACTACATTTTTATCAGTTAAGTACTATCATTAACCTTCACACAAACAGTATAGCTGTAGGTCAAGTACATACACCTAAAACTTGGTAAATAATTTAAATTTACAAACCACTCAGAACTGAACATCTCGACAAAGAGAACTCAAAAGATGTACAGTTAATACAGTATCAATTTATCAATCATTGGTTCATGTTATTCAGTTCCAATCATTTCACAATGTGTCAGGTGACAAATAACAAGTTTTATTTTCTACAATAGCTTCATAGATTATAAGTTTTTCTGTTAAAGCTTTGTAATATTTAATACAGAAGTATTATCTTCATTTGAAGATTCGTTTTTCACAACCAAACAATAAAATGATTTACTATATAAAATAATGCCGTTTTTCCATTGAATAAAACAGCTCCTTCTAACCCATTAGCCGATCAGAAAACGTAGATAGGAAGCAAACTATTTCTCTGTTATACTCGGTTCATTCATGCATAAAAACTTAAACATTGATATACCTGAAAAGTCTGACCACGCAGTGCATCAAATAAGAAATCATACTCTAAATACAACCATACCGTAATTAGTAGAGGACAAAACAAACAATACATAATTAATTAGCAATAACTAAGGGATAGTAAGTGATAACGACAATTGTAAGGTTCACTTGAAGCTTACAATAAGAGGAATATAGAAATGCAACAATATGGTTAACTACTGGTTACACAATAGAAATATAGATAATAATAATAATGATCCAATGAATAGTTTCAAAAGTTCCAACTTTTTTAATATTCTATGCGATGCTGACCTTCTCGACTTTCATGATAAGATAAATTTTGATTCCCATACAAAGTAGGAAGATGTAATATGGATAATCTTTTACTCTGAAATTTGTTTAAATACAAAACCGAATGTTATTTATACGGTTAAAATCTACAATTGGCTTCCGAAAACTTCCATAAAATTGCAGACAACTAATAACAATAATAATGTGAATTTAGCCAATCGGAGATATGTCAATTATAATAGTTGAATTTATGAGTCGACGTAAGCTAGACCACTATCAAAACCTCGAAAATACACTGGACAGCCGTTTCGTCCACATCAATGCGTATACACGAGCCCCTGCCAAAAGTACTCAGACCCAGGACCTTCGGTTTCTCGCGTAGACACCTAACCTCTAGACCACTGAGCAGGCATCCAACGGTGTTAATGTCTAACTACATCTGATCCATGATCTTGCACAACCCTTCTCTCATTGTCTGAAGAGGATACCTGTCTCTAGCCGACAGGTCAATTATTGACCATATCTGTACCACTAATGTCAAATATCAAGTGTTTTCTTTTTTTGTCATTCAATAACTTAAACCTGTAATATAAAGTTGGAAAATAAAACTCTGATTAGCTCCATTTACTTCTAATTTCATTGTTTTTAACAGATACCAATCTGTTGATGAAAACATTAAGCATATTGAAAGAAGATATAGAGTCAATTTTTACACCAGAGTTTATTGAACGATCAGCTACAAAACTTTGTTCTTCTGACAAAAGGGTTAGTCTGGGTGTTTTTTGTGTTCTTGCTCTCGTGTAACTTCTGTCATGAAATTTATTACAGTACGTATTTTTTGTAAAGCATTAACATCGACTCTGAAATGCAGGTACATCCGGCTGACGATTCCCAAAATAGGACGAAACCCACATCTCGGATTTCACTGCTAGATACTATCTATCTCTGCCTAATAACTGTATAGTTTATTATTTGGTGATATGATTTGATATTAAAATTGATTGAATATGAATCTAATAGACATTAACAACTAGAATTTCTCAGTTTAAACAAAACACAATGTTCATTTAGTGATAATTGAATTATCCAGGAGTGTATATGTTATTGTGGAGTTGGTGGAAGCAATAACACACAAAACTTCACCTGTAGCTCTTCTAGAGTTACTGCGGTTCCCAAGCCCGGGCAAATGACGAGGTTTGGGCATGGGGTTAGCGACCCCATCCCGCTAAAAAAACGTTAATCAGAAAAATTAATTCAGACCATTTAAACTCTGCCCTGGGAGTCAGAAGGTCTTCATTTAGAAGAATTATGACGCTTCATGATGAAAGTCGAGTTCCTTCGGAAGCCAAGAGGCCGATGCCCCTTCTAACAACCAAAGCGACAATTTTTATAGGCACATGGAACGTTCGAACAATGTGGGAGACCGGAAAGACCAGTCAAATAGCAACGGAAATGAGGAGATACAACCTGGCAGTACTTGGAATCAGCGAAACCCATTGAACCCAAGCTGGACAACAAAGACTAAATACGGGAGAGATGCTACTATACTCCGGTCATGAAGAGAAAAATGCTCCACACACTCAGGGAGTCGCTCTAATGCTGTCCAAAGTAGCACGAAATGCACTTGTAGGATGGGAATCTCACGGATCCAGAATCATCAAAGCATCATTCAAAACAAAGAAGGAGGGGGTCACAATGAATATTATCCAATGTTATGCACCCACCAATGATAGCAATGACGACATTAAAGATCAGTTCTACGAGCGGCTGCAATCAATCATAGAGAAGTACTCAAGAAAGGATCTCACCATTCTGATGGGAGATCTGAATGCCAAAGTTGAAATAGACAACACCGGATATGAAGATATTATGGGACGACATGGACTGCGACAGAGAAACGAAAATGGAGAAAGATTTGCAAATCTGTGAGCATTCAACAAATTGGTCATAGGAGGCACAATATTTCCACACAAGCGTATACACAAGGCTACATGGATCTCACCGGACCGCACCACAGAGAACCAGATACATCATATTTGCATCAATAAAAACATCCGAAAGACATTGGAAGATGTGAGAACCAGGAGAGCAGCTGACACAGCTTTAGATCACAACCTAGTTATGAATAATTTAAAACTGAAGCTAAAGAAGAACTGGAAAATTGGACAAACAGCACTACAAAGGTTCAATACAGCCTTCCTTCGAGATACTGACAAACTGAATGAATTCAAGATACCTCTCAACAACAGGTTCCAAGTCTTACAAGATCTACGGAAGGAAGAAGAAACTAATATGGAGGACAACTGGAAAGGTATCAAAGAGGCATTAACTTCAACGCGTCAAGAGGTTCTGGGCCTAAAGGAGCATCATCATAGGGAATGGATATCTATAGACACACTGGACAGGACCAAAGAAAAGAAGAACAATAAGACAGCAATTAACAACGGCCAAACACGAGCAGAGAAAGTCCAAGCACAAGCTGAATACATAGAAGCAAACAAACAAGTGAAGAGGAGTATTAGAGCCGACAAGAAGAAATACGTGGAAGAACTAGCAACGACAGCAGAAAAGGCTGCTAGAGAAGGAAATATGAAACAGCTTTACGATACAACGAAGAAACTATCAGGGAAATACAGTAAACCAGAGAGACCGGTCAAAGACAAAGAAGGCAAGCCAATCACCGAAATTCAACAACAGCGGAACAGATGGGTAGAATACTTCGAGGAACTCCTGAATAGGCCGGCTCCAATGAATCTACCGGATATCGAAGCAGAACACACAGATCTTCCTATAGACGTCAACCCACCAACGAAGGAAGAAATCAGAATGGCCGTCAGACAAATCAAGAACGGGAAAGCAGCGGGACCCGACAACATACCAGCTGAAGCACTGAAGTCAGAAATCAAAGTTACTACAAACACGCTTCACCTTCTATTCAAAAAGATTTGGGAGGGGGAACAAGTGCCGATGGACTGGAAAGAAGGACACCTCATCAAGATTCCAAAGAAAAGAGATCTGAGCAAATGTGAAAACTACAGAGGCATTACACTGCTGTCAATACCAGAAAAAGTCTTTAACAGAGTGTTGGTGAACCGGATGAAAAATGCACTAAACGCCCAACTTCGAAATCAACAAGCTGGATCGGTCGTACACAGACCAAATTGAGACTTTAAGGATCATTGTCAAACAATCAGTTGAGTGGAACTCGTCACTGTACATAAACTTTATTGATTATGAAAAGGCATTTGACAGTGTAGATCGGAGGACGTTATGGAAACTTCTTCGACACTATGGAGTTCCTGAGAAGATTGTCAGTATTATCCGGAACTCAGAAGACGGACTACACTGCAAAGTAGTGCATGGAGGACAGCTGACAGATGCATTCCAAGTAAGGACCGGAGTCAGACAAGGCTGTTTACTCTCTCCCTTCCTTTTTCTTCTGGTGGTCGACTGGATTATGAAGACCTCGACATCTGAAGGAAAACACGGAATACGATGGACAGCTCAAAATCAATTAGACGATTTAGACTTCGCAGATGACTTAGCCTTCCTATCACATACACACGAACAGATGCAGACAAAAACAGCCAGTGTAGCAGCAGTCTCTGCATCAGTAGGCCTCAGCATACACTAAGGGAAAACCAAGGTCCTCTAATTCAAAGCGGAGAACAGAAGTCTTATCACTCTTGATGGCGAAACTCTGGAAGATGTAGAATCCTTCACATACCTGGGAAGCATCATCGATGAACAAGGAGGTTCAGATGCAGACGTAAAGGCGAGGATTGGTAAAGCAGGGGTCACATTCCTATAGTTGAAGAACATATGGAACTCAAGACAACCGTCAACCAATATCAAATTAAGAATCTTCAATACCAACGTCAAGGCAGTTCTACTGTATGAAGCTGAAACTTGGAGATCCACAACATTCACCATCAAGAAAGTACAAGTATTTATAAATAGATGTCTACCCAAGATACTCAACATCCATTGGCCGGATACCATCAGCAACAGCCTTCTCTGGGAGAGAACAAATCAGCTTCCAGTTAAAGAAGAAATTAGGAAAAGACGATGGAAATGGATAGGACATACATTACGCAAATCATCAAACTGCATCACGAAACAAGCCCTAACTTGGAATCCTGAAGGGAAGCGGAAAAGAGGAAGGCCAAAGAACACATTACGTCGGATAATAGAAGCAGATATGAAAAGGATGAATAACAACTGGAAGGAGCTGGAAAGGATTGCCTAGGACAGGGTTGAATGGAGAATGCTGGTGAGCGGCCTATGCTCCTTCACGAGGAGTAACAGGCATAAGTAAGTAAGTAATTGAGACATCAGTACAATCTTATCTAAATACCGATAATCTCCTAGGTTATGTTAATTTGTAATGAAACTTTATATTCAAATATAATAAGTTCAATTTTGTAGACTAATTGATGATAAATTACTTAATGCGGATTTATATAATAAAGATTATCATGAATTTCCTTAGTTATAAAAATACCTTCCTCTTCCTATACACAGTTATCTGACTTAAAACAACTACTTGATTTGACATTTACTACAATCAAGATCGTATTTAAGTCATCAGAAATCTCTGCATTTAATATCCAAGTATTTACCATAAATTGGTGATAGATTTCTTGCGCACAAGACTGAAAATCCTGGGTTCGAATCCCGAGCACTGCTGTGGAGTCCCATACTAGGACGAAACGATCATCCAGTGCTTCCAGGTTTTCAGTGACAGTCTAACATCGATCGATTCATGATCATAATTAATAATATTTTAAGAGCTGCTGAAAACCCTGAGCAGCCTATGCGCCTCCCCGAGGGGTAAGTAAATGAAAACCATGAACAATTGAACTGATTTTTACTGCCATCTTAAACTTTAGTAGAGTCTATCCACCACCATACATGACATCAAACTAATTGCATGTACGTTAACTGTAGACCAGTAACATAGAATTCGATAGTTCATATTTCTAACTTTGGTCATTGAATTGATAAATTTATCTCTTCATCCATGTTTTCTCAATTTAGTGCATAAAAGCTTTCAAGAAATCTGCTGTCGGTCTCATCAAAGTTATTTATAAAGTAAGCGCACTGAACATTGAAACAATAAGTTAACGTTTTTCTTTGTTCATAATATGCCTTTTTTATTGTTAACTACCTTTTATAAACAAAATAGTGACAAACTATTGCTGTATTCATTGAACAGTTATTTGCACATTTGTGAACACTTGAATCAGTTTCCTAAGCTCTTCTTATAACCATAGGTTTAATCTACACGACAACTTAAACATGAAAGAAAAGGCGCGAAATGTAGAAAGAAACCTTTACTCTAAGGTTAGTTTAGGCACAGAAAATTGAGGGTATTTGTAGCATTTCAAACAGCCTTGGACCTCTGGAAGGTTCTAGAACCCTAGTAAACATAGTAGCAGAACAGGTAATCATCCAGTCAGAAATGTGATACACGACTATTCACTTTCTAGATGTTTTTAAAAAAACTCGATACTGATTGGATAAAATGTTTCCTAGTGTTTTCACGGTCTCCACAACATTTAGACTACGGTAAGTATACACAAGATCTTATAGTTTACACTACTGACTGATCTTAATTTTTCAACCGTTGAAAACTGGGAAATATTGGACAGTTGTTTCGTTGCAGAATGTGATTGAAGTCATACATGTGAACCGTTCAATGCAGGCCAGTGGTTAAAGTGTTAGCAGTTCCGTCCATTTTCTGAAGGTCCTAGATCCTAGATAATAGGACAGGTTAACACTGGATCAGTTTATGTTAAACAAGCGAAAGAGTTAGTTATAGACGACAGCTTAATCCTAGTTGAACTCTGTGAGATATTGTTTTTCGTTTGTATTATAGATAACGATTCAATGGAAAAATAGTGGTCAAATATGGTTTAGTTGTGAGTATTAACCGACAGTTCTGAGCTTAATTAGGAAACACATACTGGTGTAATTTATAATTTGAAAGAAGTATAAAAAAATCATGTAAACTTTTACAAATTATAACTTTGGTTATCTCGAAGCCTTTTGAGGATCACTGCCACTCCCAATCCCTGGTGATGGGGAAGGGTCAGTAATTCCATCTCTTAAAGGAAACCTTGCTAAGACGATGTTGACTGAAAAGATCTGTCTTTATAAAATATATTTAGTAGAGTAACTAACTCAGATCGAACTCTATTGTTACATGATTGGTCATGATTGGCCTCGAGCTCCTGGATTTCCGACTCCTATAGGTGGACTCTCTGTGTTCACCAACCTGATCAAATTGCCAGACATTCGTTTTTCATCCTCTCAATTTCGTAGACAACGTCCCGAGTGCGGGAAGTCAATGAGTAGGACTTCCCTGCCAGAGGCTATATACGCGTGGCCATATGAGAGAATTTGGAGAAGGAGAGCTAAATCTCCACACTCTTGGCCATACCAGGGGATTTTGGGGCAACCACCCACCCTATAGTAATCAATATCATTTTGTTTAACCTTTAGTAGCAAAATAAAATTCTATTGATTTATATCGATGTATCTAATCTAATAAGAAAACTGCTACTCTATCAAAAGAATTCGATTAGCACTAAGGATTAGAGAAAAAAATTACATCTTAACTGAATGATTTACTTACTAAAATAATATTTGAGTATATCTCTGTTAAATAGTTAAAAATGTTTACCATAATGTAAACTTCTATATAAGTTAGACATACTACAAAATATCATTCGAAAAGCTCAATACTATTTGTACATTGTGATAATGAGTTTCAATTGTAATCGTAGAAAGGATTAATAACATGGTGGAAAGGATTTGTAGCTCAGGTGAATGATCTTTAATGGAGTTTTATTCTCTGAGGTGGATTAATAACATCACATTCTGAAGTTTAACTCAACTATCACTTAGTTTGAACAGTGAATATTGTATCAGAAGGGGTTTTGTGGAGATTGTAGTAATTTCAACAGTTGAGATCATGAGTCAATTAAAGCTAGACCATCATGGAAAACCTAAAAGCACTGAACGGTCGTTTCGTTCTATTGTGAAACTCCTCAGCAGTGTTCATCCACGACCCCGCCTCGCGGGATCCGAACCCAGGACCCATCAGTCTCTAACTTCAATTGACTCAGACCTCAACTGTTGAAAGGTAAATATTGTGTTATATGACATATCAAGCAATCAGAACCCTCTAAATGATTACAAAACATTTAACAGTAAAATAATAATGCGCTAACAGTTATGAATGGAATAATTAAATCTCATACATCAAATTATATTTTGTATTCAATAACAATGGTCAGGTTTTCATAATGTGATTTGGGATAGTATTCTGAGTTAGGGTTATTATCCCATAAGGTTTTTGTCCCCAAATGATAACGGTTATAATGTAAGAAAGTTAATGTTTGATAATAAGTGTTAGGCTGAAATTTTGAGCTGGGATTATAAATTAGGGTAAGGGTTTTCAAAACGAACTGATATTGGCTACAATGAAATGTTTTGCCATCCTTCTATGCATTACCTTTAGAAATTGAGGGTTGAGATGTAGAGGAAGTGTTATTAATGGAAAGTATTATCTAACTTCACCTAATATTCTTGACTACGCATCGAATCACATCAAACAGTTTAACATACAATCTGCCTTAGGAGTAGGTATGTTTTGCAACTTAGCTTAAGTAACATCTTAAATTCACATTTTGATTGCATAATAGATATTTTTATTGATTGTAACTATTTTAAGAATGAATTATTATCATCTAGTTAATGGTAATATAAAAGTTGTCAATCATCGCATGTAACATTTCATGCAAATCACTTAAGGAGTCATCTCAATCCTTACTGGTCACCTCAAAAACGTCAGTGTATTATAATTTTCCTGTTTTAGCTCATAAAAAAGACTGTAGTAAATGAGAACACAAACTGGGACAACCAAATGTGTTTGAACATAAAATTACAGAATGTGTTAGTAAACTCTGAGAACCATACAATAAATACCTCATTTTCAAAATATCAATCAATCGTCTGAGATTTCATTGTTCTAACATTTCAACAAAAATCATTCTCTGTTCTCGTCCTCTTTTCTTCTCTTTGGTCTTCTTAACCTTCTACGGCCAAACATTTCACTTTTGGTTGATGATACATTCTACTCATATCTGTCGAAATCAGTAGTACACACCACAGAACACCAAGATGTTGTAATTAAACTTCATTTATCTCATGAAAAGTAATTAAAACAAAATAAGGTGGCATATTTTGATGGCCATTAAATTTCAATGAATATTTTAAGCTACTTATATTTTAATCAATAGCAAAGATTTGTTAACTCAATTTTACTGAGTAATTTATCATAAACGTAAAACGGATTTTTGATTTCATTTCTTTTAGAATTCAGAAGGTGAATGGTTTTCAGACGATATTTATAGCTAGTTTAACCGTTTTTCACTTCAGTTAATATTCACTATTATGGTTAAACTATTCGGGGACATCTCTTTGAATAAGTAAATAAATATTTAATTCGTAAACTCTTCTTTTCATTTTTGTATATATCACATAACTACAAATATGACGTATTGCAGAACGTCCACTATATATTTGTGTAAAAGTATAAATTCTTTGATGAAACAATTAATAAATAACCTGGAGATGAGCTCAGTCAAACCTGCAATATTTATATAGAGTAAATATTTCAAACACCTTTGACTATAATACTGAGAAAAATAACCGAAATAAAGACTTTGGTGTTGGGTGATCATGAGTTTCTTCAAACACAGAGACTGTTAAAACTGATACAGAAAGGAAATCAAACATCCTAGTTTTAAACATCTACATGAGTCTGTCCCTAGGGGTCAATTCAGACGACTACATGCTAACCTCTATAATAAAACTAAATAAAAAGAAATCCAAGTAATGACAACCAAGTAAGCAAAGTAATAAACGACCAAAACCAATACATCCAATCGCCAATAAATAAACAGCTAGACTAGAAGCCTTACTAAACAATAACTTTTTCCAAAGTGAAACAGCTTCAACACGAAAAGGGACAATCAATAATTGATATGTGATGCACTGATGGTCGACGATCACTGAACAGGAAACAAGGTCAAAAAACACAACACCATCTCCGAGAACAACTATTATGTTCCGGTAGGTGTGCCGTGTTTAATGTACGCCTCTTCTCCAGAAGAACCTACCCCCTTAACCAACTAAGTTTGGTTGAAACGGGCACTATAGGGAAAGTTTGCTTCTCAACATCAAAAGTTTTGAGAAACGATAATGATGTTCTGGAGGCTATATTGTGGAAATCCTGATAAGTTAAGTTACCCAAACGAATAACAATGCACATTGCATCTCGAAGGACGATAATTATATTTGCACTTATGAATACCGGTAATCTAGTATTCTTACAGAACAAACTAAGAAATTCCTGGTATGAATCATACAGGAAATAAAATTGTCCGATCAAGAATGAAAGCATGTTTCAGAGTCAATCGAACGAAAGCATCTTAAATGTTCACATCAATGAAGTTTGATTCAAATGAAGCATAATGCATCAGTTATAAAAACAGTAGGAAAATCTATGGACAGTGACCATAAATAAACTAAATTAAACTCTGGTAACTCGACAGAATAGCCTAACGTATTTGATAATGGATAGATTAGCATAATACTTATACAGACCAATTTCCCCAAAAAGGTTTTCTATCAACAACGCATCAACAAAGCATACATACAATGATGACAGGATCAATAATCCTTTAAAAGCTGAATGTCATGTCATCGATACCTTGGTCGGAAATACTATTCGTGAACATTAAAAAATCGGTTACAGCAATTGTAATGAACGAGAACTCAGGTGAGGATAACCGATGTATTTTAATACAAAATTACAGAGTTCTTCCGTTAAATGTGAAGACCATACGTTCAATACTTCTTTTGCAAACCTTCCATCAACTGTCTCGAACTTCATCGTTCCTCAATTGCTATAACAATTACTCCTTGTCCCCGTTCTCGTCGATTCAACCTTCCTAACCTGCCGCCAGACATTCCAATTCTGATTGGTGTTATTTACTACTTATGTCGACATAAGTAGCATACACCAGACAATTAATTGTATCAGATCCTTGTCCTAATAGGTTGCAGAGTGAAAATAAACTACCTAGAAACAATTTTCTGTGTAGTATATATTTTTGCAAGAACTAATGTGACTTCAGACCCACTTCTGTACATACTCATAGTTTATTAAAACTGGTTAGCTTACGATTTCTTTTGACTATTTTATAACCTACATGTCACAGACAAACGTGTCAACCGTACCATTTTTATTCCTTATTGATTGGCGGTTTTTATAGAAACCTCAGTAAAACATCTAAACTATACAAAAATATGTGAATCGACAAGGAGCATCAAATCCCTCAAAATTACAGGTACACCTTGCTGACCAGTGCCAAGTAGCACGAAACCTACGTCCATGGTTTCATATTGACTACCTCCAACAACCATTTTATCTCAACATAGTGCATGCAATGTCAAATCACCTAGATTAGTGGTCACATTGTAACTTGGCCGATAAGATTCGACCTACACTAAGAAGAACCTGTTATACATGACAATGATCACCGCCCAGTGATCAACCGATTCTAGATAACACTAATCATTCTCTTTCCTCCATCACTATCAATTTTCTCACATCAGATCATACCTCAATGTTATATAAACAATCAAAGTTGATAATCGAATAATTAACAAGATTAAAATGTGAAAAATGAATAATCTGTCCGGAAGCTAGAATAAGCTATATAGGCTTAACATAGTAGCAGACTCTACAAGTTGAGGTCAACCATTTACAGCTCTGTAATAATTGTCAGTTCAAATTAATCATGATAGAACATATATAAAGGACAAGATAGTTCAACACTAACTTATTATTTCATTTAATGGCGAAACTATAATTTATAGACGAACCAATCATGTATAAGATAATGGGTCTTGGATTTCGATGCAAAATTCACTCATCTATTTGGCTAAATAGAATTTCGACATTATAGCTGATGTCAGTTCGTAATGAAAACCCTAAATCTAGTTTCTAACCTTAATCACCAACTGTAAATTATAATTCCAATACCTCACAGTGGTTTATAACCCTCATTTAGTTCTGGTTATTAGGTGGACACTTTCAAGGTACATCTGGCATCACTCGAAGGTCAACCATAAATTATAGTCTCACCTATTTAATCTTATAGAAGCATAACATTTTGTATTTTATAAAATAAGAGGTACTTTTACAATAGTTTATTTATTGACAAAAATACAATCAAGTAAAATAAAGTTCTTCTTCACCTCCTCAATATTTCAACTTCTCAAGTATTCTTTAACATATCATCAATCTCTGGAAAGAAAGTTATATAACAAATTTTCAATCCTGTTAGAAATAAACTTCAGTTCAATGATAAATGAATCATTATTATAATGTTGTAATAGGGAGGCAAAACCCGACTCACACGTCCGAGTCGTGCCTCCAGGATAGTGGGACGGATGACCAATGAACTAACGTGAACGGTAACCCGGGTGTTAGAGATAGGGCTAATCACCCACTCGACCGATACCCTCAAACTGATTACGAAATCCAGAAAGAATCACAGCACAGTTACTCTTGGATGGAAAAACGACAAAATATTGACAAAAGTGGTGCATGTAATGTACGTAGTTACTCCTTACGGGGCAAACTTCAACTACTTGCAAAAACAGCTATTCTATCCCCGGTAGTTGTGTCGTGCTTCAATGTGGCCTGTTTCTTTCCAGAGAGGCCGACTAGGCTTCACCAACTTGTTTGACTGGAAGGGAGGATTGTCATAGGTTTGTCATAGAGATAACGGTGTAATGTATATTCATCCAATAAGATTTAAAGATAAAAAATACAACAACAAAAAAGAATACACCTCAGTCATGAGATCTACTTTCTAGTGATATAATTCTCAAGCTGTTAGCTCAAAGTAAAAACCGATTATCAATCAATCCCTTGGTTGATAATAGTTAGGAATTCAGAAATGACTGGTTATACATTTTACTGGATGTTTAGAAAGTATGTCTTAAGCCGAGCTATATATATATATATATATATATATATATATATATATATATATATATATATATATATATTCAGTGCTTCCAGGTTTCCCATGGTCGTCTAGCTTCAATTGACTCACGATCTCAACTATTAAAATTAGTATAAGTGATAATTAAAAAGCTTACTTTTATACATGGTAAGAAGTGATAGTCTTGTCTAAAATGATAATGAATGTTTCACAATTAAACTATTTAGCTTAGACTATTTAAAAATATCAGTATCAAAATCATTTCCATCATTTCAAAACGTTGTCTATAATAATGTAGATTTAATCTTTACATTCTTGACCTATATATTCCATAATATGAATCATTTTATTTGTTAAAACTCAATTACGTCAGTATTTGTTGATAGAGTTAATAATCCTTTATAAAGTATTTATATTATTTTAATAGTTGAGATCATGAGTCATTTGAAGCTAGACTACCATGGAAAACCTGGAAGCACTGGACGACGCTTGTGCGCGAGACCGATAGGTTCTGGGTTCGAACCTCGCGGGGTGGGATCGTGGACGCGCACAGCTGAGGAGTCCTACAGTAGGACGAAACGGCCGTCCAGTGCTTCCAGGTCTTCCATGGTGGTTTAGCTTCAACTGACTAGTGATCTAAACTATTAAAATTATCATAATAATCACAAAACCCTTTCCGATGTTTATATTATATCACATTAGTTGCTTTAAAACTTTCATAGGTTATTGAACAAACGAGTGATATAAATATTGTTTTAAAAGACAGTATGAAAAAATAGCGCCAACTCAACTACCTGACAGATAATAGGAACAGTTGAATTTTCAAATAAATTTATTAATATACCAGCATAGTTTTGAGCAACAAATGAACACTGAAAATTTTAATGATTAAATGTAGAATTATATTAGGCATGTTAATTTTTAAGTATTAATTAATTAACCTATAAATTCTATAGTTGAATTCATGAGTCAATTCAAGCTAGACCACCATGGAAAACCTGAAACTACTTGACAGCCGTTTCATCCTAGTATGAGACTCCTCAGCAGTGCACATGCATGATCCCACCTCACGTGATTCGAACCCAGGACCTGTCAGTCTCGCTCGCGAACGCTTAACCTCTAGACCACTGATCCAACCGGCATCCAACGGTTCAATTTACTCATGAATTCAACAATAAAATTACTGAAATCTCCACAAAATCACTTCTGATAATAACCTATTAATAAAAACTTATTCATAAACTCAAAACAAAAACATACACATTATCAGTTTTAATAGTTGAAAGATTATCCAAGTATGCAGTTACTAGAGATATGACTGATGAGCGTTTACTTCAAACTGTTACTTATCATGAAGTGGTCAAATTCAATTACCAGATTATTTGATTTCAATATAGAAACTGAATTCTGACAAGATCGTTGGTAAG